ACCCCTTGACTGATGAAGTAAGACAGGCTGTACACATTACACGTTGGTGTGGCGTGGACAGACAGACGATTCGTCAAATATTTTGTGTTTAAAATTGGTTTTATTAAATAAATTTGTCCCTTCAGCAAAATACGGGATTTTTGCCGTCCCTTATCAAAGTTTAACGGGACGCGGGAAGGGACTGTCCTTTAAAATCCGGGACGTTTGTCAACCCTGTCGATGGCATAGAAATAAACACGCCAGAATCAGCAAGATACTTAGACCAAGTTCTATCACATATTCAAGAATAACAATATTTCAACTCATACATCTATTTATTTATATAAATTACTCACATATATACCTCCTCTAATAGAGGAAAACTAAGCAAAAACACTGATACCACTGATAGATACAAGAAAAAAAATGACTTTCACTTACATCCTGTACTTAGGTCACAACATAATAAAATCACCTTAGTATACAGGGACATGTTTGATCATCTTTTTTTCTGAAAGCATGAAATCGTAAACAAACGTCAACACTTTTAAGCAGACACTAAAAAATGTCTCAATCCTCCTTTAGATAATTATATTCAAAACCGTGGCTGATTTCTCGTCATGTATGTAATGTACATTATGTATATAGCTTTCAATATGTATCTATTCCGATATGTTTCAACTTCTTAATGTGTCCTTGACTACTGTTATGTGTTTGTACTTGTTTCTTTTAACATATCTCATGTTGTAAGAATAACCTATCCATAAATTTATAAATTTTTCTATCAACTGTTGAAAAAATTCATGTTTCAAAATACAAAGTGTCCACAAACATTAAGTCCGGCCATACACGGACCACATATTTGCAGTTGAGACAACCACAACATTGTGGCCACGTTGACTGCACTTTGCGGTTGACCCAACCACATTTTTGGGGTCGACTTGCGGTCATATAAACCGCACTTGCAGTTGAGGCAACTGACATCTTTATTTTGTGGTGTCAGAGTTTAGTGCCAGTTTGAATATGGATTTCGAAGAAGAAACACTACTACTTCTTATTTAGAGGAGAAGGAGAAGACGTAGGAAGGTACGATCGTTTTGGGTACATCCACTTCTGGTTGCGCGACAACAGGAAGGAAATTTTTATATTTTCTTTGAAGGATGTTGACAATGTTTCGTGGTGCATTTCATCAGTTCGGACTTCCATTGTCTAATATGATATAAATTGATTTTAAATCCCTGAAAAATCTGTAAGAAATCAAAAAGATTAGCTGAAAAAACAATTTTATTAAGCAAAAAACTGAAATTACAATTGTTTTGACTTCACCTGTAAATTAGGTGTTATTGGAAATATCCAGTCTCGAAGAACCAAATTAAAATCCAAAATTTCTGTCTGTCAAACTCTTATCTATTTTTTTCAACTCACAGCTAACTTATACATATTATTAAAGATTTACAAAACATCAAAAATAATTATACAGAATGTAACAATTTCAAACTAAATAAAAGAAATGAACTCCAACAATATTAAAATAATATACAAGCAAAAACCGGTAAACTCCGACAAGACGAAAAAAAAAAAATTTAATTACTTCAGAATGTGCATTAGTTCTTTTGATGAATTAATTATAATTTTGAAATCGAAAATTGAACGCTGCGAGACCAATATGAGAAAAAGTACACGACAGTGTACGCGGTTGGGTACGACTGCAAGTTTGTGGTTATTGTACGGCGGATGCCGCGATGACATCTCGGCGGAGATCAGCAGCAAGTTTACTGCAGACGCCCGTTTTGACTTTTGTGAACGCCCGTGTACGTGTAGTACAGTATTTCTTATGGGCGGCTTGAGTTCGCTGGAACGCGACTGCAATTGTGTGGTCGATCCGACCGCAAAATATGGCTCGTGTACGGGTGCTCTAACACAACTAAATCAATATTCAACAAATACGATTTTTTTTCATATCTGATCTCCATTAACCCAACAATTCAATTCACAATGGGCCAGTAAACTAAAGGAACACTTCTTAGATGTACTGGTGAACAGTTTTGAAGATGGGATATTGGGTCAAAGGGATTACCTACTGGTAACCTATGCAAACCTAAAGGTATCTAAATAGAAACTCTTATCACCAGCTACGATTATAAAAAGAGGTATTTCAAATTTTAGTTGAGAGGGCCCGACATATCTGTAAATCTGAAATTCTCCTCGAGAAACTGAATCATCTGAAAAATGCCTTCAAAGAGAATGGGTATTGCGTAACCGAATTAGAGCGAAAATGTGACCCTTGAAAAGAGAATAGGTCTGTCAATGAAGACAATTTCCTGCCCTATGTGAAGAATTTTACAGCCGTATTGAAATAATTCTAGAGAAACACAAAATGAAATCGATATTCAGGTCAACAAAAACCATCAGAGAGACTCTTAGATCAGCTTAGGTCCTTCAGCAGCATCGGAGGTATATCAGATCCCGTGTAGCTGTAGATCGGCCTACTGCGGTACTACAAAAAATAAGTGGAAATACCTGGCGCTCTAAACACAAGAGAAATGTTTGCCTGGGGTACACCAAAAGGGTAAATTTTCGTTATCTGGACACCCGGCGATTTTGAAAAAATTTTTGGCTGTACTTACGTATTTTGATGCGTTATTATGCTTTGTCAATGAGAATTTTATTTCTTCTACAATAAATTCATATTGATATTTGGTTAAACACCAAACTGATAATATATGCACCCGACGCGCGTTTCGCTATTTATTTTATAAACAGCTACATCTGTCTTTAGATTTAGCATCAAATTTCTTCTGAAGATACTAACCTCTCAACGAAACGCGAGTCGAGTGCACATTTGTTTTTAGGGTAATTGATCTCTAAAAAAAGTGTATACCAAAGGTTCCAATTTCATCGTTTAATGATATTTGCCGTCGACTATGACCTATATGGCGCCGATATTGCCATAATTAATGAAGCCAATATACCATGGGTTTAAATGGGTAATCCTCATTAAAAAAAAATCTACCGGACTTACTTATGTTGCGAGATTCTCGAATATTTTTTTATGAATAGTAGGGAAAAATATACAGGATTTTTTGACCAAACTTACAAAAGTAATATGTCAGTTCAGAAGGAATCCCTGAATATATTTTCCAATCGATTGCTGAAGTAGGTACACCCAGAACTACATTAATTTCATTCAATTCAAATTTGCCGCTGACAAATGTAATACTAAGGAGTGGAGGAAGGACACGAAAAATCGCCCCTTGAAGATCAAAGTGCCACCTTTAACTTACGCTTCTGTGTAGTTAGGGTGTTCTGTGGTAATACCGTTAGCGCCACGTTATTTACGCCAGAACAACACCGCACGTAAAACGTTGCGCTATCATACTTCGGACTGAATCAGATAGATCCGGTAGCCGGTAGCTGTGTTTGTTTTTATTTCCTGATTACCTCCGGTATATGCAAGGCAGCAGCTAGTCTAAAGATATCGTCTCTTTTGAACATGAAATTAATTTTTATATCTTCTGCCATCATATTGTCCAGATTGAACCTATCTTCAGCAGCCCCAACAGGAAAATTTTCAGGCACGCTGAAAATATTGTGCAAAATCACTTGCTCCACTTCATCGTCATCAGTATCAGCTAAAATTACTCGCATCGCATAATTTCTCCTAAGGAGAAATTATGCGTTGAACAGGGCAAACAATCAAAACAGAGCACACTGGTTTTAGAGAATAGTTCCAAATAAAACTGCTCGTTAATAAAACTCAAAATATAATGGCAATACGTGTACCGCCCCAAACAATGTTAAGATGTAAACATAATATTTAACGCGGAGTAAATAACACTAGCTATAAAAAGCATTGCCCTCAGTATAACACACCCATTAATGACAGTAGTAGAAAACCAAGACGCGATGGAATCCTCATATAAATCATATGCAATAAAAGGGGCAGTGAACCCAATAGTGAAATAGGAGTTGATATTCATGAAGTGCAGAAAAGTAGGAATAATGAAGTTATTCTTACAACACAAATGGATGGGATAGAGTTGAAATTTTGAAACAATAGCTAGTGCAAAAAGTACCAGAAGCAACGGTTCTGCTACTTTTTAACAAAAAGATCATCCACATAAAGGGGATGGGCGCAACCGTTACTGAAAAGAAAATAGTAGAAGAAGTTTCCAAAATTATTAAGCTTTTGAGGTGAGGGTACTTTGACCTGCTTATAGAAATAAACAAAACGCAACACTAGTAATACATGAAGACGATGCCATAAAGCTGGTGCAGTTGAAAACAATAAGGATTGGTTGGACGATCTGTAGAGTTGCTGAAAGACAGAAAGAGATTTGCTGCTTAAATGTTGGGAATTTGGACATTCCAAAGAATAATATACAGGGCCAGATCAAGAGAGATTTTGTCTGAGATGTGCAGAAGAGAGACATAGGGCAAATGGAAAGACACAGGAAGACATCAATCTGATACACTCAAATGCTCAGCACAACCGAATAAAAAAAAGCACTTTTAACCTTGCGAACAGTGCAGGAAACATCCACTAGAACAAATAAAACCGAAGAAGTATTAACCGCAGAAGAAAATGTGAGCAAGGGTGGATAAGCAATGGAGGTGGAAACTTCAAATACTGACAGAAACAAGCATCCTACAAATAAATTGTAACAGAAGTCGACCAGCTCACGATATGGCTCTTGCTATAGCCAATAAGCTTGAAGTAAAAATACTTATTGTGAGTGAACCCAACATTGGCGAAGCTTCTTTGATGATTTTCCAGGATTCTATCACCTTATTGTCAGCAGAAGAGATTCTATCATCATTTAGTTAGTTTAGTTATTTAGTCTGATATATTGTTTTGAGTTCTTGATATTCCCTGTGATATAAACCGTATTTATATACTTTGTTCGGCTTAGATAACTCAACCTACTAATTTCTATAAATATTATTATTATTATTATTGTGAAAACGACTATGTTACAAATATTTTGGAGTACGTAAAGGAATGAAAATAAAAACTAGCACTGGTATAATAAACATTTTATTGATAAAAGATAAAAATATGAGATTCACAGCCACTGTCACAGCTAATGTAATTATACATACAATGAATAGAATATAATATAAGGATATATAAACTATAGAAAAATATATTGAAACTATAAAGATTTTTAGAGTCAAACTACCATTGTAATTTGTTTCTGTTGAATCACATTATATGGGTAGTTTTAGGTAACATCTCAGAAAACAAGCATTCTTCCTGAACAATTATCTTTGATCGAAAATAATCTCTCTGATACATCTTCTAGAATGTTCTTCAAACTGCTTCATTCCTTTTCAAGATATAAAAATCTATTCTTTGGTGTGCGAGGGTGTATGCGAATGAGAATGTAACATTTTTTGGCAGAGAGCTTTAATGTTAGGTTGATTCAAAAGTTCGGCTTCTCTTAGTATCCTCCTTATGTCAGACATACGTTTGTACTTCACAGCGAGAAAATAGGCGGTTTTCAACTGTTTCGCTTCGATATACGCCGATATCTGTAAAATAATACATTCTTCTACATCTTCATATAAAGGAAGTGATAGAAATTTTGAAAGAAGCAGTAGTAAAAATATACCTAGACAAATAAAATATAAAAGGATACTTTTGATCTTTAGTAAATATCATCACCACTACCACCGTCAAAAAACACCATTGACAATACTTCTGACTTGCAGATAAGTTAAAGCTCAAGTTATAGTATGTGTGATTGATGACTTGTATACTTTATATGATCACTTAAATTAAATGAATAAAAACACTTTCGTCTAAATACCACTGGAAAATTTTATTTATAAGACCGGTTTCAGGTTTGATCTTATTATCAAGTATAAAACTGAAATCTGAATTTTGAAATATCGATTTTATTAGAATTTTCAGGTGTGCTGCAAGGACAGGTACTTGAGAGACAGGATGCCAACTTAAATACCACCATGAAAATTCTAGGGGTTGTTAGACTCATAAATTCAAGAGAGGAGACCTACATAAATCAAGTTGCTCGTTTAGGAGTATATGTTTCTAATCAAATCAGTTTATTCATTCAAAGGACCCATTAGGGTATAGAACATGTCAGGATATAATGTCTTAGTGCATGTATATAAATATAGTAAAGACTACATACATAACTACAAGACAACAAAAGGAACAGCGATATAAGTTATTTGCTTAAAAAGTTACAATAAAAATTCATCAATGCTATAAAATTTTCTTGCAGAAAGTGTTTTATGGAGTTTCGAAATTTGAAGTGTGTAGGCTGAATTTTAATGCCAGTGGATAATTTATTGTAAATTCTCACACCTGTTGAGAGTGGTCCATTTGATGTTATTTGGAGATTGCTATGATTGGGATAGATTAGCTGATTGTTTCTGGTTTGGCATACATGTATGTCCGAATGCCTGGGAAGAGTGTTTTTTATTTTATGGATGTAGCAGGCAACTTCCATAATACAAAGACAGGCCAGAGGAAGAATATTCAATTTGGCAAACAATGGTTTACAGGAATTCCTGGGTGATACATTTTTTATAGTTCTTACTGCTTTTTTCTAAATAAGAAATAGATGCTGTGCAGCCGGAGAGTTTCCCCATAGTAAAATGCCATAAAGTAGAATAGACTGGATTTCAGCAAAGTAGAAATTTCTCAGACTTCCGATATCAACCACATTCCGCATACATCGAATTTGATATATTTTTGTATTTAATTTATTTATAGTTGCTGTAATATGCTCATTCCAGCTGAGATCGTCATCTAGGGTTATTCCCAAGAATTTTGTTATTGATTTTCTGTTAATATTTAAGTCATTCAGTTTGATCAAGAGTGGATTGTTTATTAGTCTTTGTCTGGTGTGAAAGATTAGATACTCAGCTTTTTCTGTATTGAAATGTAGTTGATTAGCTGAAAACTATAGTCCTAGTTTATTTACCAAGAAGATGGTTACAAGCTTGTTCGGTCATTTCACTGCATTCCTGGGAGACAAGAAAAGATGAGTCATCAGCATACAGCGTGATGTTATACTCAGGTAAAAATTCCACTATGTCAGCAATGAATAAAGAAAATAGTATTGGGGCCAAAACACTTCCCTGTGGCACTCCCAGCTCCAGTTGCGAGGCATCTGAGCAGTGCTTACTAATAGATCCGTGCTTACTGGTTTTTAATTGATTTGTTAATTTCCATGACCTCCAACATATTCATTTTCTCCCTTTATTACATATATGTAGGATTTTGAGATTATCTTCATTTATCTTGTGGTTTGATTCTTGAAGATGTTCGTACATTGCAGATTTTTTGTCCAAACAGCAAATTTTGAAATAAGACTGCATGAACATGTCACGTCTATCAGTCAACTTCCTATCAAATCCATTGAACCAAAGCAATATTACAAAAAATATTGAAACTTTAGCAAGAGTAATCTTGATAAAATAAAAATTAACTTGATTTCATGTGAATGGGTATTAAGTTTAGTAGATGTAAATATTATTTATTAAAAAAATCATTGATAATTGTTCTACAGTTATTAACAATATAGCACCATTGAGAATATGTCAATTTTAAAATAATGTATCATGGTTTGACAATGAAGTAAATATTTAAATTAAGGAAAGAAATAAAGCTAACTTATTTGTAGATGATACTCTATTAGCTTGTAGTGATATAAGCCAAGACACTACTGTACAGAAAATGAATGTGATATTGCAAAAAGTGACAAACATATTAAAATTAACAAATTGAAACTGAACGTGAGTAAAACTACTGCCATGATCCTCACTTCAAAATACAAATATAAAAAAATCAATATAAACTGGATAAATATTCCTATTAATGGAGAAAATAAGTGAACAACTATAGGCACGACTACAAAAACTACTGAATAGAGGAATGAGAATTATATTGAGAGAAAACCGATAAACTTCCATAATTACAATGTTATCAACCTTAAATTGGCTTTCGGTATCCCAGAGACTTTCATACCAGACAATAATATTCATGCATAAATTGTTAATGATTTAAGTTGAACATATCTTAGAAAAACTATTTGTTTGAAATATGTTATTCACCAATATTACACAAGACATAATCTTAACATACATATATATAGAACACCAAAAACAGTATGAACTCAGTATATATCAAAGGTTTTGATACGTACAACAAATTGCCTCATTCAATTAAATCAGCTTCAACCTTAAAAAGGTTTAAAACTGAACTACTGCAACATATTTCTAAAAAATGTTACTGATTTTATTACAAATAAGATGATAAGTCATGATTTTTGGAATATTATTCCTATTATATCGTATCCTAGGAAGGTATCCTATTTACCAAATGAATATTATATAGATCCTGCAAAAAGAAAATCGAGAATCCACAACCCGGTCACTATACAAAAGTGAACTTATTCAAAAACAAGAGTACTTTTACAAACATCTCAACGTTGACTCTCAAGCCATTTTCTCTGGAAGCCGTGTATATTTCCTTAGCTTTGAACTCGATTCTGACGAATCCTCTACAACTGAACCAATTGACAGCAACAACAATATCCAGTACGTTCACTCTTAAACTGACTGAATTGCTCTACTGTAACATAAATACCTATCCAAAAAAGAAGCAAATCATAAACCCTTATGTTGAAAACTATGACATCTAGTGCACGTGCTGTTTGTAGAAACAAAAATTAAAACTTACAGCAACACTTTGTACCAAAATTGGAGGAGTATCCAAAAGAATGGTCACCAAATACTGAATAAACCTAAAGGTGGGTCACTTGTTCGAAGTAAACCACATATTAACATTGACAAAGCACATGCTCCAGCAATTAATCATCAGCCCAATGAATGTATCCTTTTCACAATGATCTTTAGAAGGAAAAAACTAAATATATTTTTGGTTTACTTCCATCCCAACTCTAAGCTGGAAGAAAAAGTCTGTACCCAAGTTTGTTTGTATCTCTATTCAATTATTATTGGCGACTTCAATTGAAATAATAGGTTCAAACAAAGGCAGCTGAGAGTTACGTGGTCATATTTCCCACGATACGGCCATTCACACGGAGATTCAGCTGAGTAAGAGATATTCCAGGAATCCCTTATCTCGACATGCAGTTAGCATCCAGTTAACATTATATTAATTATCATTCTGTTTGTAGCTCTCGTAAGAGACAGTCTTTTTCATATTTTTCAGAATATAAAAGGTGAAAATACCTAAAGAATGTCTATAAAAGCTGATTTTCCTCCACAAAAAATGACTTTTGTTCAGTGTCTCAAAATGAATTTTGTTATACATCTGAATAAAAAATTAATACTATATACAGGCCGTTTCTTTTATCATGTGGTGACATTGCTATATTCTAAACCGTAACAGATACGAAGAGGATTAAATGAGAAAAAAGGTAACTGTCATCGGGAACAATACAATAGTCAAAGAAAATTTACGGGGACTCTCGCCCTTCTCGAGTTATACGGGGAACCTAAAAATGCTGTTTTTCGTTTTTTTCGAATGGAATTGTTATTTCGGAGAATATCAAAAAATGGGAAAGGAAAATGTTAATGTATTCGAAGTGTACTATGACGACGTAATAATAAATATTAGATAAAACGGTTTGTGTCATGGTCACCATCATTTTTTTTTTAATATGGACCTACCTTTTTTATTACAGATATTGATAAAGCGATAAATTCTAAATCCAAGGGTATATCACATTTGATATTTTTATAGCGTTTCATTTGAAATAAGTACCATCATCAGTGACAACAAATTACGGTCTTGTCATTTTGATATCTCAAAATATTATTCAGACAACCCAATAAATTCGACAGGTAGGTACCCTAACACAATGAAAATTCTTACTTTTTTGTTTGTATTCAAGGCTTATTTCTCCCTAATCAATTATAATTCGTAATATTTTTATAGATCTCAATCCTAGAAATAACGAAAATATCAGTTTTTGGTCAAAATTCGATTGTTGTATAATTTGTTATAATCAAATCATCTCAATTCATTTACCATGTTAAATGCATAGGCTTTGCTTGGTTTCTATGGCAGGAAAAATGAATGCGTTGTTGAGAACTGTCAAAGGTGTATTCAAATGATGAAAGGACTGATATGCTATTTAGTTATGAAAAAGGAATATATGTGTTGAGCTATACCAGAATCCTCGTATTCCGAAAATCCAAATGTTCAAATGATTGGAATGAAATTTGAGGGACTATGGTGCATTTGACAGAAAATAAACAAGAAAATGTGTGGTTACTGGAAGTGTGAGGAATCAAATNAAAAATAATAATCTCAGTATAAGAATTAATTGTTAATTTTATAATATAGGTACTTACTAATTATTCTGAAATTCAATAAAGCTCTTTAAACTAATGGTGCTTAATTTTCTCTGTATGGTCGTAGAAAAAGTATAGTGTGCAACATGTGCGTGAAGACTTTTTTACACTCGCGTTGTTTGCGACACTCGCCTGAGGGCTCGTGTCGCAAATTCCACGCTTGTGTAAAAAAGTCGATTTCACGCCCTTGTTACACAATATACTATTTTCTAACTCTGAGGATGCCCTCAAAGTTCTCAGATGTAAGAAAAAAATGAAAAGGAAAGAAAAGTGCTGATTTAACCCTGCGTCAAGCTGAGCACTCGAGGAAAGTTCAGAAGGAGATGGAAGATAGAAGGTGTAAAGGAGAAAATGTTTTTATTCGATATGTTGGAGGTATTCCTCGAGTGACAAAAAACTTAAAACAGTAATTAAATCATCAGCCAGCAGTATTGAAACAATTTCAATATATTATCAGAACGTTGGGGGACTTCGAACAAAACTAAATGAACTACAGCATTCGATACTAGGGTTTGATTATAATATTGTAATTCTTGTAGAATCCTGGTTAAATAAAAATTTTTGTAATAAGGAATTAGGTTTGAAAGGTTATAATATATTAAGGCTAAATAGAGATAATACAGATAAGAAGCGTGGTGGTGGTATTTTGATTGCTGTTAAATCTGAATTGAATGCCAAAACAATTAATTTACCAGGGAATGTATTAGAACAATTATTTGTTTTCCTCAATATTAAAAATCGTAAAGTAATAATTGGAGGAATCTATATACCACCATAATCATCAAATGATATTTATGAACAACACACGTATGATATTGACTATATTCTTGAAAGCAATAGAGATTGTGAATTTATCCTTTTTGGGGATTATAATATACCAAATGTGGTTTGGTTCAACGATGAATTGGTTCTGAATGTCAATTGTCCAGATAACTCTCCTGCTATTGTGTTACAACACTCTTTTGGCTACTACAACCTTCATCAATTGAACACCATTGCTAATAGCAGAAATATTACACTAGATTTAGTTTTTTAACATTAAAAGATCTTTATATTCATGAACCGTTGGATTTGCTGTTTCCTAACAGTGTGCATCACACCGCAGTTATTGCAACCTGAAATTTGATACAGAATCGCAACTTACATATGAAGAGTACTATTATGATTTTAAAAATGGTGATTATTATGAAACAAATAATTTTTTTGCTAGTATTGATTGGAATAGCATGATAATCCCAGGAAAACTTATTGGTATGCTTGGTCTTGGAAAATAATTGCGTGATATGGAGTCCTCTATATCAGACAGATATATCTATGATTTTGTTCCCAATGACAGTTACCTTTTTCATCATTTAATCATCTTTGTATCTGTTACGGTTTAGAATATAGCATGGTTACCACATGATAAAAGAAACGGCCTGTATGTAGATAATAAATTATGTATATGTATAGACTAATCATACCTTAGTTGCCTTGTCGAAAATCAACTTGATGAGGTCCTCCACTTTTGTGCCAGACATGTTCGCTTTTGTAAAAGTAGCGACAGCTTGGGTCAGCATTTCATCGCACATGTCCGTTACAGCTGCATCTTTGGAACCTCCACTCAGTTTTATACAGCTAACTAATTGCCCGATGCCATTATATCTTTCTTCTCTTGCTAGCTGCTTGCCTGCCTCACAATATACTTTCACTGGCTTCAAAAAATAATCTTGAATTATCCTGAAAAAGGTAAATAGTTAGATGATCCTAAATACCAATGCAGTGTGGATTGTAAAAAAATACCTTAAAGCGATATTAAACCCGTCAGAAACATCTTTTCCGCATACGATGGCCAACACAGCCAGCTCTAGTTTTTCCTGCATACTTCCAAATAAGGTAGGAATTTTGGGTTTCTCGATTTCTGTAGTCTCAGATGATTCTGTAAGGAAGAGTTATGGTACAAAATTGCAATTGCAAAAAATTGTAATAGCAAAAAATTGAGTAATTCAGAAATATGTTGGTTCCTGTATACCATATTTCTCCCAACACGGTAGAAAATTATAATATTATTAATACTTGTTCGATTGATGACCTATTTATTTTGTAGAAATTCATATTGAATATAGAATAAAAAACCATTTTCAAGTAAACTCTTTACCTAAAAATGGTTTAATAAACCGAAACCAGTCGTAACAAATAAAAATCGTAGTAGAAATTACTCAAAACTTATGTTCTTTATTCTATATTCAATATCAATAATGCTTATTAACGTTATAAAATCTACAGCACATACTAACATAGTCACGATCTTTAAGATGGTGACTACAATGATAGTAAAATAATGTTGTAAATCATGCCCGAAAGAAAATAACACCGGCCGTCACTGGTAACCATAAACCAAACGTGACGTAGCTAAGAGTGCGCAAATGTACGATGATTCACCGCCACTCTAGAAGCAGCGAGAATAATGCTACCGATTTCGACGGAACTTTGGAGAAATTTCTACGTAATTCGATTACGATTCTGTGTGAATCCCAGCTGAGGGTTGAATCTAGTATAACGCCCAGGAACTTTATATGAACTGATATTGGAACTGCAAATCGATTCCAATATCAGATCATATAAAATTCCTGGGCGTTATACTAAATCCAACCCTCAGCTTGGATTCACACATAAACATCTTAAATAGGCTGAACTCCATCTGTGGAGTTATACGATATCTACTGAACCAAGTATCAGTCAGCTGTTTGCTAACATATTACTATGCTCATGTTCAGTCAATTATTTCCTATGGGATTATATTTTGGAGCTCTTCATCAAGCTCACAAAAAATATTCATAACACAAAAGAAAATTATGAGATGTATACTAGGATTGAGTCGTAATACTTCATGTAGGACATACTTTTCTGACCTAGACATCTTGACAGTACCTTCATTGTATTTCCTGTTTCCTACAAATGCTGATCAATATTCTACTAATATGAACCTCCACACTAGACATCAAAATGAGCTATCTGTCCCTTACCATAAATCATCTTATTATGAGAAAGGCACACACTACCAAGCAATCAAAGCATACACCTCACTACCTCAAATACTGAAAGATACCGGCCTGAAGAGGTTCAGGAGTTCTGTCATAAGTTACTTGAAGCAGAAACGCTATTATTCTTTTAATTGTTGGATGTAATAACGTGTATTAGTTTTAGATACTCTTTCAATTGTGCTTCTCAGATTTTTAAATTCAGCTGTATACTTAAATTCTTGTCTCTGTATTAGAATACTGTTTTAACATTTTGAGATTTGTACTGTACCTCAATATTCAAATATTTTCATCCCCCCCTCCCGATTTATAGACATTGTAAATACATTTTAACTTGCTTTTTTGAACCTTTACCTGACGTTTGCTGTGTCTGTTGCGTTGTATTATTATTATCTTCTGAAAACGCCAAGCGAGTTCATATTCTGAATTGGAATGTTATTGAATTCAAAATTTCAACTAGGATTTTTTTTATTCTGACTTCAAACTTAGAATTTAATGCATTTTTGGTCTGTCTACGACTTCGTAACTACATTCAAATAATAGTTGAAGTGTTTGTTGTATTTAAAGTGAAATAAAGTTAAGTTTGATTATTCAGTGTAGTTCGTAGGGGTGCGACAGCTGGTTAACATAAAAACAGATTTCAAACACACTTTTTCAAACAGAATTATTGGTCCACCCACCGGGAAAAACGTAACAATAAAAACAATGATTCAACAGGTACTTCTCGATATTAAGTTTGAATGAGTGCATGCTTTCAATGAACTTCAGTTCAACTGAAAGATAACTAAATATTTTTACGGTGATATTCTCAATCCATTGGAAGAACGCACTTTTCCATCCGTATCCAATTTCTTTACAAAAAGATGAGAGTTATTTTATGAAATAGAAGTAGAGAAGTGATCTACACGATTCCAGATAAGCTGCTCTTATCTATCACGTTCCTCATGATGAGCTTCTGCTCCATAAAAACTATCCAAAAATTCAATCCATAGCTTAGCGTTAACTATACAGGCGCAAAATAAATAATTCGCAAAATATTTATGTCAACTGAACCTCTCTATTGACTAATTGCATACCGTATTTTTTCACATTTCCAACAGTATGTGAAACACGCCTCTCAAAAGAAAAATTTTAGTCAATCTTCACTGCTAGACATTTTGCGAATGGGTGAACTGGGGTACATTTTGATTCAAGTTCATCTAGAACATTGAATTCTGGCAAAGGTTTGTTACTAAATTGAACCGCAATTGTTTTATCAATGTTCAGCCAAAGATTGTTACAAGCACACTAGTTTAATATCTTGTTTGCTAATGTTGTTGCATTAACTAAAAAATTCATAAAATTCTTGACTGCTATCAGGCAAGACATATCAGCGAAAAATTTTAACACCTCGACGAGGTGTTAAAAATACCGATTTGGTGTTGGGAAAAAACTCCAGTAATATTCATTACTACACTAAAGGCTCCAAACACTGCATCACAAATATCAATAGTTATTGATGGAAAACTATTTTTTTATGAGACACCCTGTATATTCCGGCATATTTCAATAAAGCTTGAACCAATCTCTTCAAAAATATAGCACACTTGATGTTTTGCTCGAGTCATCTTTGAAATACAGAGCTTTTGGCTGTTTTCATGTAGACTTTGAAACACACACTTTTATCAAGTAGGCTTTGGACGACGCAGCAATAAAACAGAAAGAAATTATTCAGTGTTAGCTATCAAATGTTGAGAAAGCTTTTAACAACAGTAATTTAAACGCATAGTTTCAATAAAACTGATAATAATTTATACTATATTCACTACCAATAAATGAAACTTCAACAATAATAATAATAATGATAAAGAACAAACAATGAAATAAATTTTTTCAGAAATATTCGAAATATCTACCAGCTTCTATACACACACGCGACACCTTTTCTGAAGGTTTTTTGGTCGAATGAATTAATTCAATAGGAGTGAGAGAAGCAAAACTTTGCATCATTGCCGCTCCAAATCGTATGTAAAATTGGTCGGCAAGAGGTAAAAGTCCATAGGTGTTAGGTCCGGGGACCTGGCCAGCCAACGGTTTGGCCCTTGATTGGCGATCCAATTTTAACCAAAATTTGCAGCCAAAAAATTAGTGACAATTGCAGTGTTGTGAGGCGAAGCCCTGTTTTGCTGAAAATATATTTTTCTGAGCTACATTAGTGGCAATTCACCAACAAGGGATTCAATATTTTGCCTTAAAATTTCTTCTTATGTAATGTTACATGGCTGATAGACTGCGATTACAACATCGGATCGAGAGCAAGATCTTCTCAGTTCAACTCTTGATTCTGTTATTGACGATAGGAGGCTAAGTGGTACAGCCAGGAATTGGCTTATCGCCTCCTCAAGAGCAGAATATCTTATGAATCCTTATGCCAAACTTTTGGGTCTGCAGAAGCTGAATCTGCATCAAGAGTGGAAACAAATTTTTCCTGAGCAGGTCATCAAATACTTAGACTTAAATAGTGATTCACCTAAATCAGAGGCAAAGAAGCCATTCATGGCTGAATCTAATATATTGTCGGGTAGAGCTAATTTAGAGATACCATTTGAGGGTTTTTATGATCATTAACATGGGAATTTTTCTCCTTGAACTTGTGACCTCAATATTGACCAAACAATCGAAATCTCTTCAGTATGCCATTACGGCTGCTGCAGAAGAAATTCCAGAAATTGGTCAATAGGTACGATTCCTGAGATTGATGGCTACAGGTAACCTAAGTGGGTGCAGTTAGTACTCTGCAGTCATGCGAAAGTATCTCTCTGAAATGTGTCACAGAAACCTACTCCCAAAGCCACACATTTCTGTTGTTTATCAACCTGAGAAAGGTAGTCGCAGATTGACTGCTGACCAGGTCCACTCTAGATTTAAGAATATGTACTATAGTCGGTTTATCAACCTTGATCTGGTAGTAAAGCCAGAATAGCTTCGTTATCGATTTATTTGATTCATACTGCATGCCTGCCCCGTTACAGACTGGAACAGGTTTTTAGCATTCTGCAGAGTCCGACTCCTGTCAGCTGACATGAAAGATCACTAACCAAATTCAGTGAGCAGCTTCGTTAATAAACTGGATTTACTTGGTCGAGTTTGAGCAGGTGTGCCACAATAAACTCTCATGGGTTGCAGTATATGGTCAAATAGACCCACTCTCTTTGGACCTACCTACCTACCCTAAAGAAAACAAAAACTGAAGAAAAGAGTCTAGTAGTTCTATAATATAACTAAAAGATATACCATTGAAAGTCTTCTGAGGATTATTTTGAGATTATTATAAAAGAAGAAGTGCTCCTTAGCTATTTGTCTGTGCCCTATTATTTTTATGAAAGGAAACAATAATGAAATTGATGACTTAACTTACCATAAATAAAAATTATAGGAAATTGAAAAATTCAATGAAAGGTGATCCTTGTGGCATTTGATTGTGGCTCAATTTACATAAGTTGGCACATCATATGACACAGGAAATTATTTACCTTCAAAAGCAAGAAAATTTATTTTTTAAACGATAAACTATTGATGGGCAGTTAATGAAAAACAAGACAAAAATATCTCAAAGCATCGAATTTTATGTTGATTCTCTCGAGCGAGAAATGATACCAATTTACCTTTAGTTCTCAAACTGAAATATCAAAGAGTGTATGTATTTGTCTCTAATGTCAGTTATCATATGTACATGAGATATGGATTGCCATTATTGAGTTTTATTTATTGTATGAATGTCGTTGAGTGTGTATTTGTCATTAGTATTAGTTGTCACGTGTAATTGATGTTTATATTTAACGTTTGTTTGAACAATGTTTCATGATGAATTTCACTAGTTCGGACTTCCATTGTCTACTATATAAAATTATTTGAAATCTCTGAAACAACTAAAAAAGAAGAATTAAAAATGAATAGCTGAAAATAACAATTATATTAAGCAAAATAAACCTGAAATGAAATAATAGTGAAATAAAATACAAGTAAAATAGAACAATTGAACAAAAATAAATAAAAATAAAGAAATGAAAAAAGAAAATAAAAATAAAAAGTTGAGAGATTCCAAGTCACGTTAGTTCACGACGTTTCGATTGTTAGTATCTACAATCGTTTTCGGGTGATGACTGGACTGATTCCTCCGAGAGATGACTATTTATAGGTCATTCGAGTACTTTCACTTATCCCCGCTTTCCATTTTCCGCTTCACTGGTTCCGTGGGAGATGACGGTTTGGCGGGAGTTGGCCATTTTTCGCTTGATGATGGGTTTCCATATGTTGCGTATTTCTACGCTGGCTTGATTGAATACGTTGTTGGACAACATGTAAGCAGCTTCCTTGAATTTTCTCCTAAACCAATGTTCCTCTCTGTGCAAGATCTCAGCTTGGGACCACTCGATGTTGTGTTGATGGGTCCAAACATGGTCTGCTATTCATGATTTGCTGGTTTCCCCTCGCTGTGTGTGTTTCTTGTGCTCGGCAATGCGAACATTCCATGGCCTCTTAATTTCACCAATATAGGATTTTCCGCACTCACAGGGTATCCGGTAAATGCAATTCTTGGAATCGCAGTCCGCGTTTGGTGGCCTGGTTTTCGTGAGGCTGCTAATATACTAATATAATTGTTATTATCAGCTATTCATTTTTAATTCTTCCTTTTTAGTTGTTTCAGGGATTTCAAATCATTTTATATAGTAGACAATGGAAGTCTGAACTAGTGAAATTCGTGATGTTTATATTGTTCATTTTTTAGTTTCATTTGCTGCTTTCATTGTACTCCTAATACAATTAGTTTTCTTAATATTGAGTTGAAGTAACATCGTAAACAATTAAAAAAACAACTGACATTAATGACAAGTACACAATACTAAACGACAAAATACATGTACTACAAATGGAATCATTATCAGATATGGTCTATTTGGAACAACATTATTCCAAATAATCAAATCTAAATAATTCAGTTTTGTCAAAAAAGTGTGTTTTTTAAAGGAAAACACCCGAAATATGATTTGGGCAAATAAAAAGTGACTCTAATGCAGAATTTAAAACATCTTATCATTATTACAAATATTGAAAGTAGGACTACAGTACAATCAAAATAGTACATGCCTACAAATGTACAAAATATAAATTGAAACTCAAAAACTTCGGGTAGAATCTGGAAATGCTCTACTCCGGCTCGGCTTTTGTGTTTTGAAATTTCTAATTTAAACATCATGAAATGCAGAATTTTGAAAATCCAATTTTTCCCAAAAATTTTGCAGATAAACAGTGATGCACTTTTGTTGTCAATTTTTTCGTAAATCTATAATAAACATTTGCTTAGTTTAATATGAATATTCTATATCTTAGCAGGTGAAAAAGGTATTTGAAACATACATATTAAAATACCTGTTTTTTGATGAAGGTAAGACCGTTTGGTTTACAGGTGAAAACTGTGATAAAAGCCTAAATCCGCCTGCTTCAAGTAGCTACTTTTTGAATATCTGTGTTTCACAGTATAGGTGGATATATATTGGTCTACCTTAATTTTAGCATTAGCTATGAAACATACAACTCAATGAAAAAACATTGATTTTTACGATTTGAATGAGTAATGGTTTTTTCAAAATGATGTACAAAGAAAAAATCATTAAGGTCTAAATTTTAATATAAAATTAATTTCAACTTATAGATAGTTTATATATGGTCTAAGTGATTTGGTGAAAACATAGTTTATATTTAGCTGGAAAAAAATGTATGTTTCAAGTTACTTTTTGAAAATGAGAAAAGTTATAGTTTTTGTAGGAAAATGTGTCTACTTTTAGGAACTGTAAGATTTTTTTTAATTTAAAAACTTTATGCCAAAAATACAAAAAACCATAATACTATTAGAGCATGAGTTTTGTGCAATATTTTTTGTGATAACTTTAATATGGTATATTATGTCGCTATATAATGAATGACATATGGAACCTATACCGACTGTTACCATGTGGAGTAAAATTTGAGAGACCCAACTGAAGCTGCAAACTCACCTTCGGTTGTTTTTTTCATATCCTTTAAGATTTTAACTGGTTTAACTTCAGCGTTTTCGCATTTTGCCAAAAATGCTACCACTTCGTTTTGCCTTTCAATAGTGTTGATATGTTTGTTAACGTCTTTTTTACTGATCTTCATAACCATTGACAAGTTTATGATGCCTTTCTCTTCAAAACTCGCTTGCGAAGCAGAACTTAATCTTCGAACTGTGAAAAATACAGTTTACTTTTATTGTATAGTCAATTTACAATCAAGCCTTTTTAAAATTATAAATACATATTTTGATCATAAATCTACTCTTAAAAAATTTTACAGATCACATGTGGGCAAAATGATTTTGAAAACGACCTTTAATTTTACCTGAAGCAACTTCAACCCACTGCTCCTGTTCCAAACCATATTTCAAGTGGTCTTCCGCTTCGATCAAAAAATGAGCATTGCTTGAAAGGTCATTGAAGTTCATAGCATTCTCTCGATAGAAATGAATGCATGTCATAGCTGCTCTGATGTAGTCTCCCATGAACTGCTGTAGCTGATAGAGAGAGTGCCACATATTCTGTTTCTCTAAATGTCTGCAGATCTTCAGGAGATAGTCCTAAAATATTGAGATTCGTGATGGAAGCTTATATTTGGTATGATTATTTGAAAAAGCAAGTCAGAATTTCAATTAATATTTATCCATGATTCTTGATTTGACTGTTATTAGATTATTTGAATAGCCCTAAAAGGACCATTTTCTAATTCCTCTTCTGAAAATACTGTTGATACTACTGACAGTATATACTCAAAATATGAGCTCCAACTCAACAAAATTTAAAAAAAATACCTTCCAAACATCCAACGTCGAATCGATCATGGACATCTGGTCCTGTAACATCCCGATGATCCCATCCTCCAAACACTTCATGTAAATATCAATGAATACATCACCGCTGAGCTGATTGTCGATGATGTAGTTCAGAGCCTCACTAAAGTCTCCCTGCTTCACATAAAATTCTAAGAGACCTGCATGACTACCATATCTGCTCAAATAATACACACACTCATCGTAAAACATTCGGTGGATTGGAGGTTCTACAGATGAATCCCTCATTTCAGTATCACTTGACTGGTAGTAGTTTCCAACTGAAATATTCTTCAAGTTCTTCAACTTGTTCATGATGCAAATCGCCGGATCTGCAGAACAATAAGCGCTGATGGACTTGTCCAAAGTAAGAGTAGAGCCGTAAAGTTTTTGCTTATCGGCTTCCTTCATCACATCCGGATCGATGATTCTCGTGTTAGATTCCAAAATGTTGATGATTTCATTCACTAGCGGCGGATTTTTCGAAGGTTTCGTTTCGGATAGAGAGCTCAGATTGGAGGTTTTGGACATATTTCTGCTTCTAGTGAGGTTATCGGTACTATCAGTCATGCTGTGATCGTTTGAGCTCTCGTAATGGCCGGTTTTGTCTAGGCAACGCTGAAACTTTTCTCTTGCTAAAGATAAACTTCCAGCTTTCAGGCAGCTTTTACCCCACACAGCGAAAACACCTAAAAAAATATAGGTGGTCTGAAAAATTCAGAACTTTCTTACCCAACATCTGACAGACCATTTCCACACATAACAAAAGATACTATCCAAATATATTTTGTGGAGGAAACAAAGTTTTGACATTGACACAACCATCTACTCAACAATCATAATTACCATTTGATCAACTGCCTTTGCAAAGGAGGCATCAAAGTTACTATGACGTTTGGGAGTTTTCCCCAAGAAGAAAGTAAATACTGTGTTCACTGACATGTATAATACATTGACGTGACACCTGTGTGGTCTCTAAATGCCTGTATACAAAAATGAATTTCTAGACACCACATGCTGACAGAATTCATAAAGGTAAGTTGAATCATTACAAAAAAAGATCTATCAGAACAGAAAGAATGCTGCCCTTGTCAACGAGAAACTGATGAACCTTGCTATGAAACTAGGAAATTTGATGCATTAGAGACAAAATTGAACGTCTTACCAAACCAATAAAGAGGGGAGTAATCAAAACTTGGTTGAGAGAGGGCAATGCATCTGCCTTCAAAAGGAATAGGTACAGCAGATAGAACAAACCTGCAGTGTTCTACACTGCAGTTTTGAACTTCAACTCTCGGATGTTATACTCTATTTCACCCAATAAAGACCATTATTATTATTATTATCATTATTATTATTATTATCACAACTTCCTACAGGCAAATATCTTTTCCAAGCTAAAGATTCTGGAGGAGTACTTTATATCACACAATCTCAAACTGAACAAAAAAAAAGACACAAATCATATATTTCACCCAAAACGGCACAAAATAATACTTTAAGTGATGGTGTAACTACTTTAGAACTAGAGACCCAACTTTCCTTTCTTGGAACTATAATTGACTCAAAGATGGACTGGAAGAGCCATATAGATAAAGTGGCAACACAAATGTCAAGGTACTGCTATACCCTGAAAATAATTACACAAAATATATCCACTAAGGCTGCGATGTTCCCATATAATGGTTATATTCAGAGTCACATCAGATATGGCACTATATTCTGGGGAATGTCTGCCCATACACAAAAAATATTCATATTGCAAAAACGGTGTCTCAGAAAAATATTCAACCTTTCTCAGAGAGAAAGCTGTAAAAAAATATTCGTAGAGAAAAAAATATTAACACTAATATTTGTCACAGAAAATATATCTCTTTTTGTGACTCATGATAGGAACCATACCCACAACACATGAAACAAAAATAATCTTTTGAATATAAAGACACATTTGACCTATCTTAAAAAAAATACCTTTTTCAATCATTAATATTTATAACAAGATATCTGAATCTCTCAGAACTGTGTCTTCTATGATCTTGAAGAATAAACTGAAAACTTTGCTTGTCTCCAAAGCTTATTATTCGCTGTCGTATCATTCTGCACTGTGATGTAGTTTATTCTCTTTTGGACCCTACATAAAAATGTATATGTTCGTGTTCTGTATCTACTATAATAATATTACATTAAGTATATTGACTGTGATAACCTTGCTATTCATATTCATCTGTAGCCATGGGATATTAATGATACTGCCTCATGAGTTTCTTTAATATTTACTGTAATTGACATGTTCTACACCTGAAAAGGTTTTTTATTACCAATAACTAATAAAGAATATCTATCTCTATCTATCTATCAATATTCAGACTAACAAAAACTATCAAATAGAGTCTAGTGTCAGCTAAGTATGCCAGAGAGCCATGAGCGAATCTCTTGTATCTGTGGGTCGGTCTAAATTCAAACTATGAAAAAAGTATAGATACTTTGTTCTTTGAACACGAGATAAATTGAAGCTTTGAGCATACCGACAAGTCAGCTGTAGCCAATAGGGAGGAAATAGAAATTCATGAACGCAAAGAAAATTTCAATGGAAGGAAGAAATTACCATAAATAAAATCTGGCTATATGCCTGAATTGTACGCAAATAATGCAATTTAATCAAAATGAAACCACGCCCACCTTAAATGGAATAAAATCGGAGACAAATTCCCGAGCACTTCATCCGTTGCCTTATTGCCGTTGATAATGTCTACCGCAGTAGTAGACGAAACTTAGGGTGTAACAACTTGCAGACCACGGTCAACAAACCCGGAAAATAGCTCTTTGACACAGTTATCTCTATGGAAAGTTCACATTCTTTAACTGAACTGCAAGAATTTGTCAAAATCTATGATTTTGTAAGAGTCGGGCAACCTATGTATTACAAGGAATTTTTCTTAAATGTTTAAAACCATCAGAAACGAAAAAGGTAGCTCAAAAAACTCCACAGCACTTTTACTGACTAGATTGGTAATCAAACTAACTAAATCGGGATATATCATGAGTAAAATTTACATCGCTCTGAACTTGAAACAATGATAAATTGTGATATTAGCAAAATATAACGATGGTGTGACGCAAATCTTCTCAGTTTTAATATATCTAAATTAAACTCAATTTGCTTCAAATGTTTCATTAGCAATTTACAAGTTGACATCTTTGTTGTGAATAAATCATCCACTTAATTTCTGTGACTAATTATTGACAGTGATTTGAAATTTGAAGACCATATCAGGGTTGTCAAATCAAAGTTATCCTCTGGATCTAACGCTGTGAGGCTGACATCTTATGAGTTAGGATATGCTGCTGCTTAAGTTACATATCACTCTCTCATAGAATCACACCTACGATATGGAATCCCTTTCTGGGGTGCATGTACTGTGACAAAATTGCAATCAATTTAAGTAATATAGAAAAGAGCTGTACATTTCCTGTGTAAGGCAAAGTCACGAGATTCTTACAGATCACTGTAATCCAGAAAAGAGCTGTACGTTTTCTGTGTAAAGTAAAGCCACAAAATTCTTACAGATCACTATTCAAGGAAAAGAAAATCCTCACTGTAATATCGATTTTCATTATTCAAACAATATGTCTCATAGTAAAACATCAAAATCAGTTTTCAATTAACCCAAACGCCACTCGCCAAATAAACAACTTCAATTTGCCCCTTCCAAAATATTCCCTTATTAAAGACTCTTTCATTTATAATGGGTTGAAAATAATTACCTTCCATCGCATCTGAAAATGTAGGTATGCCATAACAGGAACTTCAGGGAGTTTTTAAAACTTTTTTTTGTGAGAGAGTCTTTTATAATTTATCAGAGTACTATCAAGATACTTTTTAATTCGATTTGTGTCTCAATACATTTTATGTAATCAATATTAGAAATTTTTAAAATACATTCTTATTGGCTATTTTCGTAAAGTGTTGTATTGTGCTATTTAAATACAAACTCTTTTTGTTATCTTTTTCTGCCTTTTTTTATTTTATGTACACATGTTCAGTAACTACTTTAAATTTTATTCAAGACACTAGCAATGTATTTTATAGTGTATAGTTTTACCTGACTAAGTAGCGATAGCTGATATGTGTAATTTTTTGTTATTATTTCAACGAAGTTTTGTCAATAAGATATGAATCTTCAGACAATAAAGCATATATTGACTTTGATTTGCGAAAAATAAATCTATCTATAAGTTCCCTTAGCACTCTTGGTGTAATTAGATTTTAGTTTTTGTTATAAGGTGTTTAAAATGTTGCTCCATTCAATAGATTCACTTTTCAACTATTTCTCTGAAAAGTACCTGTATTATCCAATCCAGCCTTTGTCGATACTTCAAGAGCTAAATTCCACTGTTCCCGCTCTAGAAGTCTATCTCTCAAACGTCTCAACACTGAAGCATCTATGTATGGACCTTGTGAAAGGGAATTCGTAACTGGCAGAAGGTTGAGACAACCACGTTCAGCAAGCAAACTAAGAAGATCGGCTTGAGATAGTATACGATCTGCAAGAGAGGTTCCATGGTGCAAAGTACATTCGATGGAAGACATTTTTGCAGCCATGGCGAGCGATCTGAAAGCAAACATGTTAACTCTGGGATATTTTGAAGAATGGATTTTCTCACTTCAGCATTTTGATGACCAGAAAGTAATCGATTTCCTGAGTAGGCTCTTGGCTTGGGAGAAGTAATTTGAGCATAGAATGGCACTGATCCAAGAGAAACCTAAAAACAAAATGAATAGAAAATTTCCGGGTTTCCGGGTTTGTTGGTCACAGTCTATTAATTTTCTTGGAACCCGTATTCTTGACTTTATTCTCCTATTATTCACAGACGTTGTTACACGTCAATGGTAAAGATAAAAATATCAGCCTCAAACCACTCATAGAAGAGTAACAATCAAATCAGATCTGCAAATAAAAATTTATCAAACATCGTTCGATGTGACGTCACCTGCGAACGACGGGTAATTCGAGAATAGCCCCCCAGGTTTTTGTGTCTGACGTTTCATCTTCAACTGCGGTAGACATTATTAAAGGCAGCAAAGCAATAGAAGCAGTGTTTTATGTCAGACGTTGATTATGTAACCGTTTCTTGTTGGGTAAGTAGGCAAAATGATCCATAAATCACACCTTCAATGCCAATAACAGATTAGCAATTTAATAACTTTACAGTCGTGCTACATTTATTTTCAAATGTAAGTGTTCAGTTGGTTTGAGAGTCGACTGTATTGTTTTCATTGTCACAATGTCCCAGCATCCATATTCATCAGACATGGCTCCAAAAATAAAGAAAACCTCGAATGACCATCGTTTCACACACATAGATGAAACCAAAGGCGCATTGCTGAAACAGCTGAAAGCTATCTTAAAGGTCGAATTTGTGAAGCACTTTGAGGTTTTATGTGTTTGGATTTGTACGCCTTTTTTATATTTCAAACTAACGTTGGTGAGCCTTTTGTAAAATAAATTTTCGAAAGCTTGAATAGCAAAAAATAGTGTTTCCATAGCCCGCAGAGATTGACTGAAATACCCAANATCAGGAAAATATACCTTTTGAAATATTTCGTTTTTTGATTATGGATCCAAGCATATGTGAATACTTTTTCAAACTTCAATATGTTGAAAAAAGCATTTATATATCAATTCTGATAAGAAACTGTTTTGTTTCTATTTTGTTTCAAGCTGTTGCTTGAATTTTGAAACCCAATAGCCCATCCGTCTTATCGTGAAAAATATCAATCAAACACTTTTTTTAAGGAAAAACAACATCCTAAGAAAGAATTTTCTCGACAATTTGAACCAAGACGAGTTTCGGTAATAGAGGTGGCAGAAAACGAAAGTGATTGTTCAGGAAGTGAGTCAGAGCCTCTCGATCAGTGAGTCCGGGTCAGGAGGCGGACCAGATTAATAATCCTAGGGATGATCTATTGATGGACTGTGACTTTGAATTTGATCAAGAAACTCTCAATTCGCGGTCACTCATAATCTCCTTGAAAATGTTTCATAACAATTTTCCTGCCTTAATAGATAAGGGTAGGGAAATATACGTTATTAGTTACGAGGTTTTTCACAGCTGGGAGAGTATCATCAACAAATACCAACCTTTCCGTGCACTGGAGTAAGAGTTAGGGGGACATTCAAAAATGAACAACGACGAGCCAAACAACAGTCTTTGATTTCTTGTTCGATTTTAAAACATTCATTTCTTCACAAATTCTTAACAATACCGGACCTGGCTCATCCAGTTATTTTAGGATCTGATTCACTTATAGTAAAACCAATAATGATTGAGAGTAAAGCGCGTTGTCATATCTAAATTTTACGTTACCAGTTTATAGCAGAATCAAAATATAGTAAGCAGTAGAGTTGTAGGTTGTGGCAAATTATAGATAATACACAATACTAGTACGATTAAAAGGTATTATTTATGACAAAAATCAGTAATGAGCTTGTAATGAGTAATACGTATACATTTCCTGATTACTGATCAGTTAAAATTCATTATTTTCTGTACAGTGTTAGATATTTATTACAACTAGTGGCAACGCTGTACGCAACGATATTTCTGTCTTTGTCACTACCGTAACTTCCATCTCATCGTTGCAGTCCTCACTAATGTACTTGCAGCCATGAGCGTATCATTGGTTTGTGAATAATAGATAAGTACTTTTTTTATCATTCCAATATTGATTTCAATTTAAGAGCCACCGGTAGACAGCTGTTTCAGCCTATTGGGCATCGTCAGTACCGGGCAGGCGGTGCTCGATTGAAGACAAAATGAGAAAAACCAAGAAAGTACTTTATAAAAATAGCTGCGTAAACGCAAGCGAAACATAAGTGGAACTACCTATTGGTGTGACACTCAAGTCAAACTTGGCAAGTTGACTTGGGTGTCAAACTCTGTTCAATTCCCAATCATCAACGAATAAACTGCATACGCTACAATTGCCTCATTTAACCCTCTCTGTCAAACCCATCACACATTTTTCCGAAATCCAGTTGAATTTAAAACACCCCTTTTCAAATTCCACTACATTCCGTCGCCCAAATTGTGGCAGAGGGATTTTAAGATAGCACACAGCAATGAAGAAAAACGATCAACAAGGAGAAAGAATGATTAGGAACTATCCTTTGAGAAATAGATTGCATGCAATGCCAGCAAATAACGCAACCACTGAGAGTCTTGGCAGTAGTAAACCAGAGAAAGAGAGTATAGCGACAGAAACCATTCCAAAAACTACACACGCAGCTGTTAATGTAGATGATCAACACCCACCAGTAACTACAAGTAATTCAGGTTATGAGACAAACAATTATCTCCAACACGTTAACCAACTCCAGTAAATATGAAATAGAAATTTGAATAGAGACATACATCATTTGAGTAATTGTAGTGAGCCATTTGTGAATGATAATAGTAATTTTTGGAAAAATGTCTGTACACCAGTCAGTAATGATAATAATGTGAGTGCAGGACCATTTTTGACCTTTTAGAACGGAAGTACATAATACTACAAATCAGCTATTTGAAAGCAAAAATGGACCTGCTCACGCCACAAATTCTCATTCACAGATTACACAGCAAAATCAACAAGTGATAAATAATGCTGTTCCCATCTGGAGAAATAATAAGGTTAATTTTGAAAATCAGAGAGTGAATTCATCAGCTAATATTTTTCACATATTATCCATATAACAATCAATGTTCAGAAAATGAAAATAGGGCTATTTCAGCTAGTTAAATAGATTTTTCCACTATCGTCAACCAAGTGATTGAAAAAGTACAATATTTGAATAGTACGGGTATGGTTAGAAATGTAAACAATCTTGTGGCGAACAGACGCTTACCTATTTTTGATTATTCAGAAAATTTAGCTCCTACGGAGTTTTTAGAGCAAACTGAATACTGGTTTCATCAGGAAAATATACCTTTTGAAATATTTCGTTTTTTGATTATGGATCCAAGCATATGTGAATACTTTTTCAAACTTCAATATGTTGAAAAAAGCATTTATATATCAATTCTGATAAGAAACTGTTTTGTTTCTATTTTGTTTCAAGCTGTTGCTTGAATTTTGAAACCCAATAGCCCATCCGTCTTATCGTGAAAAATATCAATCAAACACTTTTTCTAAGGAAAAACAACATCCTAAGAAAGAATTTTCTCGACAATTTGAACCAAAACGAGTTTCGGTAATAGAGGTGGCAGAAAACGAAAGTGATTGTTCGGGAAGTGAGTCAGAGCCTCTCGATCAGTGAGTCAGGGACAGGAGGCGGACCAGATTAATAATCATTAATAATCCTATGGATGATCTATTGATGGACCGTGACTTTGAATTCGATCAAGCAACTCTCAATTCGCGGTCACTCATAATCTCCTTGAAAATGTTTCATAACAATTTTCATGCCTTAATAGATAGGGGTAGGAAAATATGCGCTATTAGTTACGAGGTTTTTCACAGCTGGGAGAGTATCATGAACAAATACCAACCTTTCCGTGCACTGGAGTAAGAGTTACGGGGACATTCAAAAATAAACAATGACGAGCCAAACAACAGTCTTTAATTTCTTGTTATTTTAGGATCTGATTCACTTAGATTGTTCAAGACAAAAATAGATTTAGCTGAAAATGTCATTATGTTCCATATAGGTAAACGGAAATTTTGTCGTGATTCCGGAAGAAAAATGGTTTGTAAATTAGTTGTCTTAAATTTGGCTGGGATAAAGCCTCTCGTTAGCAAAAAAAATGTGCCGGATAAAAAAGAAAATAGCCCTTCGAAAATAACGGAATTAGGGGACATGGTTGCCAAATGTAAAATTTCGGTGGATAAAAAAAATATTTGAAGATATCTGAATAGAATATCATAAAATATTTTCAGATGTACCTGCTCGGACACAAGAGTACGAGCATGTCATCAAGTTGAGAGATAATAAAGAATTTTGTCAGAAACAATATCTATGCCTCCTATCAACGAAAGACAGTTAATAAACAACTCCATATATTTCACCTATTATGACCACCATTGAGAAGGATAATTCTGTTCGGATTTGTTTGGACGCTCAAATTTTAAACTGAGTTATGGAAAGCGAATCTGAAAATCCGCGGCATACAGAGGAGATAATGCGCACTTTACCAAAACTTTGATATATGGCCTCGATTGATTTTACTCATTTTATTGGCGGAACCCACCTTCTACTGACTCAACAATATACAGGTTTCAGATTTAACGGTAACGGTAAGACTTATTGCTTTTGTGTATTACCATATTACTGATTTCAAGTGTTAGTGAAGTACTTTCACCCGTTGCCTTTCGGAGATTTTTGGCTAAGAATTTCAGAATTTTGTAAGAATCTACGCGGATGACGTGTTGAAAATTTCCAATACTTTTGACTCTCACTTGAACCATATCGGGAAAGTTCCTTCAGGACAACAACAAGCGGGGTTCCCTCTCAAGATTCATTTTTTTTCCTAGAGAAACGATGCGCTATCTAGGATACGTGTTGAGCTCTACTGGTATAGAGCCAGATCCTTCTAGAACTCAGGCCATAGTAGATTATGCGGCTCCACGCAATGTCAAAGAATTACAATTTTGGGACTGGCTAATTTTGACAGAGCGCTTTGTCAAAGTTTCTCTAAAATAGCAGCACCAGTAACTAATCTTTTACAAAAAGAATCAAACTGGTGTTGGACCACATGAGAACAAAATGCATTTGAGGAACTGAAAACAGCTCTAACTCAGAGTACCTTACTTTATCATTCACAAGTGAAATTCCGTTTTGCCTAGCGACAGACGCTTGTGATACAGAGTTAGGCGCCTAACTATTTCGCCAGGTAGATGGAGAACGTCGGGTGGTAGCGTGGGCCAGTCGCTTATTATTGGACCGTGAAAGACGTTATAGCATAAATGAACGTGAAGCATTATCCGTAGTTTGGGCATCAAGAAAAATTCAGAATCTACCTTTTAGGAAAACGTTTTATTATTATCAGTGATAATAGTTCCATCACATACCTGAAAACATGTCGCCTATTTTCACCTCGCCTTGTAAGGTATGCTTTAGCAATCCAAGAATATGATTAGGAAATGAAGCGTATTCCTGGGAAAGCTAATGTTGATGCAGACGCATTGTCTCTTTACGCGGCGGTGAGACCCCCTCTCTAGCAGACAAAATGTTGCTGAAACTCCCTAATTAATTTCAGAAAATACTCAAAGATATCGATCGTTACCAAAGATCAGATGAAAAACTTGGTGATATTATAAATGAATTACCAGGTGACATTCGTGTTACATAATAACTTACTATATAAGCGTCGAGCGAATGATGAATTTTGTAGATTGTGTATACCAAAAAAACTAACTTCCAAATTCATCAAGGTTTTTCACGTGTTTATTCAAGACCTGAAGGCTTTACAGGGAGAAGTTTGGTGGAATAACATGAATAAAGACGTGAAAAAATGTATACGGGGCTGTGACATATCTCAAAAAGGGAAGTGTTTGCGTCATTCAATCATTCCAACCAGTAAGAATTAATTAGTATCAATCTGTGGGACAGTAGCCTGGTGGGTTGACGTGGGTGATTTGCTTCATTCACTCAATCCACTGCTGTGTGGACCGGTGGTTCAAACCTCATAATCGGACGATCCATTTTCACATCCCATTGTCCAACCCGTGTTAGGAATCACACGTTAAAAGGTAATACCTCGTTAATCCTTAGCTCGCACAAGTTTTGACTTTTGAGAGTTGTCATTCGTAGGGAAGTGACAGCTGGTTAACGGAAAAACAGTCATCCAGTAACAGTTTTTTTAATAATTACTACGTAGATTTGACTTATCGATAACCGGTAATGTTTTATGGGTGTAGTAAATTACATTCTATTCTATAGCAAGAGTTAGATATAGACACCACTGCAAACCAATATTCAAAACACTGAAGATTTTACCATTCCCGTGTTTATACCTATAAGCCCAAAGTAAACAAAACTTCATACAAAAGTTAGAACACACCGAAAACTTATAGCTTGCATCATTATCTAACATATATATATATACCATTAAAGTGAATAATTGTAAGTAAGACTAAAAAAATAGTGAAAACTTATCCCCAGATAATTTATTGGCATTTTATATTTTACTTACTTGGGATATTCAATTGTTTTGGAATGATACTTCATGAGTGACAGACAAAGCGAGACGCTCGGAGCGTGTTCATATGAAAATTCCTCTCGGACGATTTTATTATGATCAGGATCGTCGGTCAGCAACCAATAATCGTAGACTATGGATTTTGTCGACATAGTATCATTAACTTCCGAGTTATTACTGCTTCCCACAGTTTGGTGGTAACAACTTGAACACACTCGGACCAAAATATCTCCATAGGTAGGCACCTGCACAACAAATATTCACATAATAACTTCAGAAAAATAGGAGAGGCAAAATGTGGCACCTGCTTCAATTCAGATTAAATATATAAACAAAAATATCTGATTAATCATAGGGCCAGTGATGTGAATTGTTCAATCAACAGTGCTTCGAAAATCAAAAAATATTTTGAATGAATTATATATGAAGAAAGAAGACGATAAGAATGATTTCAAACTAATGTTTATGGATATACAGAGTGTAAGAAATGAACTGGACGAACTAGAAATTATTCTCTCAAAGCATACATCCATAAATGTTTTGGTAATTACAGAAAAATGGATCTACCATAAGGAAGTGAAATTTATGCACCTCAAAAACTTTGGTTGTGTTATTTGAGTGTCGACATAAGGGTAGAGGTAGAGGAGTAGTTATATTTCTGAAAAAACTTCAAATACTCAATTATTAGTTTAAACTTCTCACAATATGAATTTTAATAACACTGAGACTCCAAAATGGAAATTATGTGATCGCTACAAACGACCAAGAGTTAGAAATTGAGATTCTCTTATATTTTTCAACAATAAAAATAAAAACTATCATTGTGGGCAACATGCTTTTTCCGAGTGGAAACCATTTTATAAATATAAATGACACAGCCACTTATTCAGGAGCCAGCACATATGATTCGAGGGAACAGGGGGAATGGCAGACCATCTCGTTCAAAAAATCTAGAACACAAACAAACCTTGTTGTTGTAGAGAACAGTGAAAAAATGAAAGGTGTCCCGAAGTTTGTTTACTTGCATTTGTGCAGAGTGGATCTAGCAACCAACTGTCAGCCCAACTGAAAACCACTTTTCCCGAGGTCACTTGTGAGTCACTGAAATCAAATCAACCAACTATATACTCATCTTTTAAAGTGGGTATATACGAAAAAAAAATTCAACACCACCATGCATCCTGAATTATGGCCAAGTGGTGCTTTTGCTGATATTCACAAAAATAACAAGAAAAAACATACAAATTTGGTGAGAGAAACGAAAGGAAACTATTATCAGGAGATAATACGAATGTTTGAGAATAGTTCGAGGGTTTTGTGGAATGTCATATCTGAACTCTCAAGTGGAGTTAAACATTCATCAGGAGATATGGTTATCCAAAAGGATGGTGAGTTGATAGAAGATCCTGTAAAGATTGTGGCTGAATTAAACAATTTTCTCATTGAGGCTCCCCAAGCACTGATGGGGAAAATTCCAAAGGTATGGCATCTAGACAATCCGACTAATTCCATAGATTTCTATACACACACTTTATTTTTGAAACCATTAATTGAAAGAGAAAGGTACCTGTCTTGGTGAAAAAAATATTAAATACTATCATAAAACCGATAACCTTTTTTGGTGAACCTATCATTTTCAAACGACATCTTCCCATCTCAGCTGAAGATGGGTAAAGTAACTTCTATAAAAAAAAAATCATAAAATTCGTATTATAAATTCTTGCAGCAACTTAAGCATATTCATTATTTCGATAATAGGTTGCAACAATTTCTATTCTTTCTTCAGTAGAATAAACCATGTTGAAACACAGTGAACACGGTTGACCGAATTCGTGAAGAAGTGCCAGTGGCCAACTATCTACTTTTTGTTCTGCGACAACTAGATTCAACAAAAACTATACCAGTGCAGAGAAAACTAACAGTGTCGTTCATTTCAAAACGTTTACTACAAATTAAATAAATTCTACAAATCTAAAAGAACTGTGACAGAGTATTGTTCGGAATTCCGATTTCTGATTCCGGACATATTCAATAATATAAGGAATGCTTTCGAAAGTAGACTGTATTATTGTATGGAACTAGATGGAGGTCATTTTGAACATGTTATCCGTTAATTGTGTTGGTATTGATATTACTTTTGTTGATTTCCGCAATAAAATGAGCGACAGCGAATTTTATGTTTTTTTTTTTATTAAAACGTTCAACATTTAATTTTTCAATAACGAATGAACCAATTTCGAAAAAAATTACAGAAGTAATAGAGGGACAAAATTCCTTTCAAATGATGTATCACTCGACCCCACATGCCATTGAAAAAAATAGGGGGGTTAGTTGCTGACCGCAGGGGGGGTGAACTTTCGGGTATGATTTCCATATCAGAATTTGTCCCCATAGAAATAAAAATTGACGTGTTCTTTGAAATTTTCGATTACACGTCCGTTTCTGACTTACAGGGGGATCAAGTTTTCGTTGGAACGCCCTAAATATGTACTCCCTAGAAGCATATATCGCATATGTGCATCAATGAAGGCAAAAAATGAAGCACTCGCCCTCTCTTGTCATTGAAATAAAAAAGGGGGATAGTTGCTGACCGCAGAGGGGGTGAACTTTCGGGTATGATTTCCATATCAGAATTTGTCCCCCTAGAAATAAAAATTAACGTGTTCTTTGAAATTTTCGATTACACGTCCGTTTCTGACTTACAGGAGGGATCAAGTTTTCGTTGAAACGCCCTGTATATATCCCTGTACATATCCAGTCGAATTTAATATAACTACTACCAGCATGGAGCCAGTGTACCGAAAAAAAAAACACAAAGATTTACTTTATAGAATTCAGAACAATGCAGTAAGAAGTCTTTTCAAAATTCACAGAGAGAACATCAATTTCTATATATTTTAAGTTGTATGTTAGCAAATACTGATCTTTCATCATATACATAAATACCATAAGGCTTTGGCAAAACTCTAAGTATATCTTCTAAAATTTTCAAGTGTCAAAAAAATAGCAATATAGATAAATGCCAATGTCGGTTCAAGTTATTCTTTCTGAAATGTGTTCAGTGAATTGAAAGTCATGATAATGTATTCTATATATATTTACGAGTCTTTTTCATATTCAATTAAAAAAAACCGCTGCCTATGATTATCTCAATAACATATACTCCGAAGTTGATGCCAATAGTTTGTAATTAGTATTTTTTTTTGATCTGTCAATAGCATTTGGAACTGTTTCATCAGATTTTCTATATATAAAGTTAGAGAGGCTTGGGTTTCCACATAACATACTGACTTGGATAAAATCATATATGAGGGGTCGGCATTTGACAGTCAAATATAACAATATTGTGTCCAAGGAACATGATGTGACATTAGGAGTTCCTCAGGGATCGGTACTGGGACCTTTACTTTTTGTGGTATTTGTTAATGATCTCTCAGAACATGTTAACAATTGCCACATAACTATGTTTGCAGATGAAATGACAATCTCTGGGTCTACACTGGAAGATGTATTAACAAGAGTCAAAGAGGTTAATGATAGATTTACGTCATGGTGTGAATGCAATCACTTGATATTAAATACCTCCAAATCTGTTTCGATGAAATTTTATAACATAAAAAATAACATTCCAGATGGAGTTGATATTACTGATGGAATAGCGATGTCACATGATGTTAAATTTCTAGGAACCATGTCAGATGAATCTTTAAATTGGTATCTACATATTGATGGGGTTTGCAAGAAACTTAATGCAGCATTCTTCGCCATTAAGTAAATGAAATTGCTTATAGATAAAAAAAATCCCTTAAGTATATATTTTGCAATGGCATATCCGCATATTTCCTTAAATATAATGTCATGGGGATTCATATACAGTGTGTCTCATTTTTCATGGAAGCACATCCGTAACTTCCGCAATTATCAAGGGAGAATGATGAAACTCGCAGGACTGATGAAAATGCTAAAAATACATTTTCCAGATAAATGGTGTTGGCCTAAGTGACATACACTGCTCACCATTTGCGATGGAAGAACTAACTTTTACGGTAAATCATACTAGGGGGCAAAATGGAGTGAAAATTCCTTCAGATTTGAGATCTACTACAAGTACATCTTTTTCCTGAAAACATTTTAGCCCTGAAAAATCCAAATTTGTATCACTTTTCATGGAAGTACCCCCGTAACTTCCGTAATTATCAAGGTAAAAATGATGAACCTAGCAGGATCGATGAAAATGCTAAAAATACAGTTACCAGCTAAATGGTGTTGGACTAAGTGATAGACACTGCCCGCCATTCGCGATGGAAGAATACATTTTTACGATAAATCATACGGGGGTGGCGAAATAGGCTGAACATTGATTCAGATTCGTGATCAGAACCCCCAAATTACTACAGATACACCTTTTTCCTGGAAAAATTTCAGCACTGAAAAATCCAAACTTATCTCACTTTTCATGGAAGCACCCCCGTAACTTCTGTAATTATCGAGGACTGATGAGAATATTGAAAATTCACTTACTGGCTGAATAGTGTGGAGCCAAGTGCTATGGAACTGCCGACAATAAACTTTGAAATATAATTCTACATCAATCAGAAATATCAATTTTTTAATCAAAATTGAATTCAATCCTTACTTGACATTTTGTAAATTAACATGAATTCGCTCATCATAGTAAGATGATTTTAATTCTGAAAAGTCATTTGGGTTAACAATCGACTATTTTCCAATGTTCATTCATGTTTTGAAATTATTGAACAAGATATTGTTCATATTTGTGTGTTTCACTTGTCATATATTTTTTCTATAATCACTAGATTACAACCACTTTTCTTACTTCCCCAGGTGTTATTTCCTGGCATGTCTCGACTATTCTTGCGCGAAGATCTTCACGAGTAATGGGTCTATTCCTATTTTTTAACGTTCCCCGTATATAAAAGTGTAGGAAGTGAGATCAGGGGAACATGGGAGCCACGTTACGAAAAGGCTATTAGGTCCAATCCACTTCCTAGGTAGGTTCTGTTGAGCCATTCCCTTCTTGTCCATAAATTGTGAACGGGTGAACCGTCCAACTGAAAAATTAATTTATTCCTTACACTCAAAAGCAATTGATTTCGACAATTCACCACCCAGTGCGGATTTTGGTCTGCCCAATATCTCAAATTTAAACTGTTCCAGAGTATATAGGAATATCAAGTAGATGTCTTTGATTAAATTCAGAAGCTTCTTAACGATAAGGCCTTGAACCTTCTCCAATCATCAGTATCATTTCAATTTTCTCTTGTATAGTTTGTCGGGACATGTTTTCGACTAAATCGTTATAAAAATCAATAGATTTCTATCAGAAAAGAAACGTACAGGAACACACAAACAACAGGATCTATAGAATCAACAACAACAAAAAACAACAGCAAAAACAAAAGCAACAGAAACAATAACAGAATTAACACGAGGAAGTAGGACTAAATTTAATACGCTCTATCAACAATATTGTTGGTTAATATTAATCCTGGCAGGTTGGCTGTCCTTGTTCATCTTTCACTACCTGAACCACTGTGCATGCTATTTTTGGCGAGTGCATTGGCTTGGGATATCGGGGTTGAGCAAACCGGCCATCGGATGCCTGCTTCCACGTAGCCCCGCTGGATACGGGAATGACAGAATCACTTGTGTTTCTGTTATTCCCTAACTGAATAGCATCCCAACGATGGCTTAATCCTAAGGTGTGTGTATCCGTGCCAAGAGGATAAATGACTCTGAGTCTATCAGCTGTCTGTACGGAACTGGGCGCCCTCTTGTCGAAGCACTGCCTTGTCACGGTAATGCGGGGCTCTGCCGTGATTGACCTTCTTTCCCTAGCTACTCGTGGGACTTTTATGGACAGAGTTAACTTGAAAATTCTTTCTGACGCTGAGTCTACAGAGGAGATGGATGTCGAGCTTACGACTCCAACTGACCTCCCTGTAAATTTAGATCAGGAGCGAGTCTACAGAGGAGATGGATTTCGAGCTTACGGCTCCAACTGACCTCTCTGTAAATTTAAATCATGAGCGAGAGCTTCTCAACTCTCCAACTCCTTATCCAATAACTGAACCTTAAAAAGGTTTGGTGGTGCAGCCAGGAAACGACTGAGTCGTTTCCTCAAGAGCGGGGTACCTTAAGAAACCGCCTTGCACCAAATTCTTGAGCGGCGTACGCCGAATTTGTCTCAAGTGGAGGAACAAACCCCCCATGAGCAGGTTAGCAAACGATTGCGCTCAAGTGATGATTCACCAAAACCAGAGGCGAAAAAGCCCTGCACGGTTGAATCTAAGGCATCGTCAGGTATAGCTGACGTGTAAAAACCCTCATATGGTAGATTGTCGCGGGTATCAAGGGGGGAACCTTGCACCTTGACTATCCGACTATCTCATTAATGATGAAACAGCAGAGCATATACTTTGTGCCTACCTCGCTGGGGACCGAATCAGGTCTTAAGAGTTCGGCAGAGCCGTACTCTTACTATCTGACCTGAAAGACCACTCACCATACAAACTAATCGGCTTCGTTAAGGAGCTGGATTTATTTGTTCGAGTGTGAATAGGTGTGAGCCACAATAAACCCTTGCGGGTGGCGGTGGAGGGTCGAATAGATCCACTCACTTTGGACCTAACCTAACCTAATATTAATCCTCATTTGTTTTTCACGACAAAGGCATGACATCCCTTGTTTGTTTAGCCTATTTTACTCCCCCGTATGATTTACCATGAAAATGAGTTCTTCCATGGCGACTGGCGGGCAGTGTAAATCACTTAGGCCCACACGATTTAGCCGGTGTGTACTCACAATCCTGTGAGTTTCATCATTCTACCTTGATAATTACGGAAGTTAAGGGGTGCTTCCCCATAACTTCCGTATGTATGTAAATAGACTTTCTATAATTAATTCATTTGCACTGCCTTCGTAACCTATTTTTGGAAGTTGTATTATTTGGTGAAGTAAAGAATTGTTACACAATTGAATATTATAAAAGGTTCCAAACAGTGCATCATAAGTGTAACACAATGGGGAATGTTCCTCAATTTGGGTTATTACAGCAAATGCAAGTTTGAACAAAATAAAATTGACTTTAATTCATGAGTTTTTCAAATTCACTTCGAAAAGTATTCAAATTGATGTTTCAAATATTGGGTTTTAATTTCTTTCTAATTCACATATTGGCAACAAAGCCTATATAAAGTTGAAATAATTTATACGTACCTAGATATTCTACTTTAAAAAAGGAAAATTATCTTTATAAATCAACAATTGAGGCAAAATATAAATTATAGTTCAATACCACCTCCACAAGCCACATAAACAACAGTTGTTTTGTTATTTATTTATATAGAGGAAGATAGGTTAGGTGCACAAAATGTCATATGTCACAGAATGTCTCGGAACTCGGAACATAAGTAAACAGAACAGCACGCCTCTGAAATATATGTCATCTTTGTTTGTCTCATACATGTAACAGATTTATTGTCCTTTATTAGCAACCAAGACCCAATAAAAAAACTACCCAGCAAATTTATTCATGTTTGATTGAATCAAAACCTTCTATTGCTGTTTTCGTGGACCTTAGAAAAGCTTTCGACACCGTCGACCACTCTATCTTACTGAATCTTCTGAACGACATGGGAATTAGAGGTATAGCGAATGATCTTTTCAAAAGTTATCTTTATAACAGAGAGCAAAGGGTTAAAGTGGGCAATCATTAAAGTGGAGAGAAGATTATTACATGTGGTGTGCCCCAGGGGACGGTGTTAGGACCAATCCTATGCAATATTTACTTGAACAACCTTTTCCTACAAGACATCAACTCCAACATTCTGAGTTTCGCCGATGATACTGTGCCGTTTTGCGAAGACCAAAACTGGTTTAATTTGAAACAGAAATTAGAACATGACCTTCATCAAATCAAATTGTGGTTCGACCACAGGCTCTTATCTATTAACTTTGAGAAAACCTATTACGTACCATTCAGTAGTTATGACAACTCTCTACCAGAATATGCCATCCAAATTTCCAATACGGAAGTCATCAAACCCACAAAGAAAATAAAATATCTTGGAATAATTTTAGAAAGAAATCTCAGATGGAACCAACACATAGACCACATAGTTAAAAAATTACGTTGCATACTTCACAAATTTAAACGGATAGCAAACATACTCAATCAAAAACAAAAAATTATGTTATATAAGAGTTTAGTAGAGCCCCATCTGAGATATGGTATATTTGGTTGGGGTGGAGTGTCGAAAACTCATCTATATTTCCTTGAGGTTATGCAGAAGAGATTTATCAGATGTATCCTACGGAAAGGTTACGACTACCCTAGCGATCTACTTTATTCAAAATATGGAATATTTGATCCCAGACAGCTGTTTTTTTATAAATTTTAGCGCTGTACAGCATAAAAACAAAAAAGAATTAACTTCTTATCACCATAAATATGCTACACGTCGAAATAATAGTATTGTCATACCATTAATGGTCAAATCAGTTGGGCAGAAATCCTTCCGGTATTTAGGACCAAAACTCTACAGTTTTCTTCCAGAAAATTCAAGATGCGAAACAAATCTCAAAAAATTTATGACAAAGATTAAATTATTTGTCAAGAATATACCACGAGCAGAGATACATAGACAAATATAAATTTAAATACTTACTTCCACGATTGTGAATATGTATTGTGTATTGATTTGTTTGTAGTCTGGAATCCTCATGATTGAAATCTCTATATCCATTGATTGTTTGATTTATTTATATTATGTCCAAGTGTGTCCAGTTCAAAGTTATGTTTTTATCCATACTTAGTACCCATTCAATACATTAGTTTATTTTGATTCTTCATATTCTGTTTGAATATGTCCAGTTTGAACTTATATTCTTATCTACTATATCTAGTACTTATTTCAATAGATTTATTGGTTTTATTTATTTATATTCTTTTTAAATGTAGCTATTTTGAATTTATATCTTAGTACTTAATTTAAAGCATGAATCTCATTCAATGTCAGATTCAGTATTCTCATTCCTTACACACAGGCAGATCATTTTGCCTCGTAAGATGTATTTTATTTGTTCAATGTTCATTTCTATATGTACATATATATTTACTGTAAACAATCTCAAGAAAGTGAATAAATACATATTATTATTATTATAACCGATGTTGCCAAATTGTGAAATAGAAACGCATCCCTTTAAATGTTGAATGCATTATTTCATTCTTCTTTTTCAAGTATTTAAATAATTTTTTAAAGAAAAAGGTTGAAATGATAAGTTTGAAATGCGTTGTTTTAGAGCTTTTTTATGAAAACTACTTGATTTTCGTCAGGAGGGACATTCCTCATTGTAAATTGATCAATAATTATGGTAAAACAATTTCCTTGAAACCATAAAAATCTATCAGGACATAATGGACCAGTCTATAAAGCTTCTGAAAAGGTTCACGGGAATTTAGTTCATATATATATATATCAAATAATACACTCACCAACATTCTATGCAGTGAACAGCTCCAACACACCACCCTCCCGCACCTTCTGCAATGATGCCTGCGATTGAACATAGAAAAAGCAACCTTCTGGCAGCACATGCACTCCAAAACTTCGCTGTTTGGGAACCAATCAGCCTTCTGGGGTACCTCATCAGGCATCACAAACCCTCTCGGATCGGCTCCTAACAGAAGCGAGTCAAAAGACTGCAGCAGCTTGTATTCAGGTGTGCGCAGCAGTCTCGGGTTTGGCTGCGTGATTACGCGGAAATCTAAGCTTTTCTCTGCGTATGTCCGGAGCACTTCATCGATTTTCTCCACACAAATTCTGTCCTCGCTGAATTCGGCGTGCAAAATTTCGGATTTCAGAATGTTCAACACAGACGCAAGCTTGTCCAGTTTCATATTCATGACCAGGATCTCGATGATACCGACCGGATCACGAATCAGGCACAGCAACTGATCTTGCTCGGTGTGTGTAAAGGCAGACAATATTTTGAGACTCACCTGAACGTTTTTCAACGAATCGTCACTGACGTTGCTGACTAGGTATTCCGTGACCTGTTTTAAGTGATCAAGATGTCTTAGGAGTTTTAGAAGGCTGTAGCAATTTTTGATGGCGTAGTTGAAAGGGAGGGCGTCCAATAGGAGTTTGACAGGTTCAAAAGAATCCGAATTTTGGAAAATTCTAAACAAGTAGCACTCGTCAATGTTTTGTAGCAGCTCTTCATCTGGGGAGTGTAGGGAAATGAAGTCCAGTAGAAGGTTTATCTGTAATGAGTTATCAATATTTGGTTTTTATAAGAATATGAAATCATTTTCCTTACATCAGAACATTTATACAACATGCAAGTTTCACTAACCAAGTTTGTACTACCAGTTAACAGCTAGAATAAGTCACTAAGTATTTTAATGTTACTCAAAAGACCAGAGACACGAGGCCAATCATTTTTACAGTTTATGTTTGATATGATTTTATTTTTTGGATCGAATGTTAATGGAATGTTAATTCATGAAACAAGTCAATAAAGGAAACTGCATGAACATCTGCGAAAACCTAAACATCCATAAATTCAAAAGTCATAATTTACTTATAGAGGAAAAAATACAAATCAATACACAACATGACCTAACATTCAATATACTACACAGTACAATACAGATTCCTAGAAACAATGAACCTAGAGAAACACCAACACAAAGGCTATTCCTGATGTAACCCAAGTACAGGCAAATTTATCCTAGAGATATCCGAATGAAAGGAGAGGACAAATACCTGCACTAAGGCGTTCTAACCGTTTAAAAGAACAAACAAGAAGATAAAACGTTCATTTTGAGTAGAACCATGAAGACGATAGCACAATCTGTTATCGAAAGCGCTCGCATGTAATAATTGGAAGTTATTAAAGCTTCAAATCCTTTTTTGTGAACACATGTTAATATTAAAATACTACTAGTTGCTTCAATCAATCAATATATTGTGGAATTGGCCGCGGTGGTAGTGCGCCCGATTCACGATCGGAAGGCCGTGGGTTCGATTCCCGCCTTGACCAGATATTTTTCTCGAGAGAATTTATCAGATTGAAGCTAGGATGATTCTGCAACCGTGTTAGGAATCACACGTTAAAAGGTAAGACCTCGTTAGTCCTTAGCTCGCACAAGTTTCTCAACTTCTGAGAGTTGTCGTTCGTATGGGGGCGACAGCTGATTAACGGAAAAATAGACAAAGCTTCCTTAAATCAAAGTAACCTGATCAAAAGGGAATGTGATCGGAGCATTACCGCTACTTTGATGTTTTCTATGTCACTTCACCAGACAAATTCAGATATCTGAAGAAACAGCTTAATTACAGTAAATTCATTAAGAGCTTGCATAAATCCCTGTATTAAAAAAAAAACAATAACTTGGCACCGACGTATTGTGACTCAAAAAAAGGATCATTTTAAAGACTAAAAATAAATGGTTGTTCTCCAGGAATCGGTTTGAAGATCCATTCATAATAAAGTTACTTCCTAATCTCAATTTACTGCCAAAAATGATACGCAGCAATTTTTCAACAACTACTGATTTTTCATAACAAAGTATGTGGCAACACATTTGATTTGATAAACATTAATTACCTCACTGAATTCCAGCAACTTGATAAGTACAGAATCCTTCTCATTTTCACACATTTTGTAAGCTTCATACCAAGTTTCCACTTCTAAAATAATCTTCAACTGAAAAATAAAAGCTTCCTTGAGAAAAAAAAAAGAACAAAATATCATTAGATTACCTTATCACATAAATCGATTTGCAGAAGCCACATTTTCAACTCGACCAACTTTCCGTCTTGCACCGCTTCGAACTTGGTGATTTCTGACTTGATAACGTCCATACAAAATTCACCCGGCCATTCCTTCATGTGATCCAAAATGATACCTATTCTCAAATCCCTGTTGCTGATGAAGAACACATACTTAAAAAACTCTTCCGTCAACCCATCCTGAATCAAGTTGGTTAGGATCATATCTTTCAAGTTAGAGAAAGCCTTATTCTTTGTAAGCTGATTTTCTGGAACGCACCTTACCAAATCGTAGAGCTCCCTCCAATTCGTGGACTTGTAAGTATCCTCAAGAAGTTCCTCTCCAGTCTCAAAACTGTCAACAGAGCTATGGAGCGAACACATCATATCTTGTCTCGCTATGAGGGAATTTGCATAATCGGACAATTTCTGAGCGCTTATTTCATTTTGCAACGCTGTGATGATCAGGTTGTTGTTATAAAGCGACTTCAATTGCGAGCATTCGGGAAGCTTCAAGTAGTTCAAGAATACCTTTACTCTAACTTCGCTGATGTCGACTTTCACGCCTTCCACCCTGTACATCTCATTCAGGATGAACGCCAGTAACCAGTTTCGCTTCTGGATGTAAGATATTATGCTTTTGCTAGGGGTGTATAGATTATTCTCTGGATAGAGCTCGTCTTTAGCGAGGTTTTCCTCAGTGTGGAGGTTTATTGTGGGAAAACAATTCCCAACAACGTGGTATAAGTAATCCAGTTTTAACTTGCCGAAATACTTCTCAAATTCGCTCGGATCCAGATTTCTTTCGAACAGCAATTTCCCCATAAGCTCCGATCGATTGTGGTAAAGCAAGTCAAAGAAGGAAGTATTCTTGCCTCTGGAAATTATATCTGAGCTGTTCTGTTCAATGTAGAGTATCTTTGAGAAGGCCTTCAGGTAGTTGTACAGCTTGGATAGATAAGGTGTCCTCGTTTCAGAAACAACAGAGGATTCAAAGTTCTCGGTGCAGAGTTTATTCAACTTTATGAAGGATCTGTGACTGAGGTGCTTGCTGTTCAAATATCCAGCTTCATTGAGATTCAGATCAGCAATCAACTCATCGTAAATAACAGACAAATTCTCGCGAAACTCCTCATCTTTCTTGTACTTTCCCAAATCCATAGAATACTTCGGAGACACCAGGATTTCCCCTGCAGGTATATTTCTGCTAATGCCTATATCCTTACATACGTCCAAGAGTCTTTTACAGAACCTGGAATAGCTAGAAACCACACTGTTATCCAGAGTGTTATTTTCGCAAGCGAGCTGTAACATGGCCTCACAGTCTTCGGAAGTTTGTGATAAAGTAATTGCTAAATCCAACATATTCATAAAGGTTTCGCTATCTGAGTGAAAATGTTTGAAGAATCCAAATTTATCAACTAGATTATTGACTGACCCTTCAACCGCTGTACTAGTGATAATGGGGTGGTTTTTAAAGAACTGTTCAGTCGTTTTGACTACAGAAACCTCCACGTTGGCTAGTGATATGTTCGGGTTCACTTTGTGGATGGCTTTAATTTTGAAAATCTTCTTGAGAGAATCTCTAAGGCTCACGAGGCTTTCTGTGTATTCTATTTCGGAGGGCAAAGCGGGGTTTTGAAGGGTAAATATCTGAAAAAAAAAATGATTATAGATATACCCAGAAATATTAGAAAAAAACAATTCAGCTTCTATATCTTCCTGAGTTCGAGACCTGAGAAAGGCATCAAAAAATTTTATACATTACACACAATACACGACTTTGTTCCTCGACATTGAATCAATTAGGTATTCTTTCAAATATCCTGGAGATATTTCTTATAATTTGATATCTATATTATGTTTCTCTGGGTCTCTATGTTTATATGCTACAACTGTAGACGTCTTTGACCACCTATTTACCTATTACAGTAAATTTCATGTAGATATTTCCGGACTATATGCTCGACCAGAATCTTGTGGACTTGACAATTCCGAAATTAGCCTCCGGGCTCGACATGCTGGATTGGAGAATTGTGAGAAGCATGTTGGAAACGATATTCGGATCCAGCGGCATCAAGATTTTGGTGTGCGGTAACCATCTTCTACGACCGAGCATGAAAACTGTAAAGTGTTACTTCCATCAAACTTCACAGTGCAGATATGGTCCTGCAGGTATCGACACATGCCAAGGATGACATTTCAGGGCGAAACGTCTTTACAAAGGGGGCAATGTAACGAATCTGAAGCCGCCCCTGACCGATATGCCGGCTGACTCAGTGAACAAACACATGACATCACCGCAAAAGAATGCAGTCGGGAATCGCCGGTAAAATTCTATGACCGAACCGACTACAGATTTCCAGAAAAGACCGTTATTCAAATAGTGGAAATAAATTGAGCTTTATTTGCTAAGCGTTTTAATAAATACATTAGTTTGTGATTAGTGAAATATTGTTGGAAATACATTTGTTCAAGACAAGGTTAATTTATTAATTTGTTACAATACTGAAAGTAAGTAAGTTAACAAACCCTTTTTCTTCACGGAATACAGAATCAGCCATAGAATCACCCCCTTAAATATTTCAAAGATTTAGGAACACCCTGTGGAACTATCATAAGTAATAATAGTCGTACCAAACCCTGCCAGTTTATACCCTCAAATATTTTTCTAAATTTGGGTGATTTATCAGTTTGCTTTTTATTTGGCGTGTCAACTCGCGCAAGTAGGAAATAACAACTAGAATATAACCCTTTGAAGTTCATTTTTGTAAGTTATGATTTTTTTTAACCAAAACGTATCCAAATCGACAGACTTGGATCCTAAGAGTAGATAATTTCAGCAGATGTTCTTTTAGATGGGTTGCCAACAAACTTCATATCTAAAGTTGCATATAAAAACAGATTTATGACTACAACCCAAGAACAGAGGGCCGCAGAATATTTTTACATGCGCAGATTGAAAAAACAAATCATTGACAGTAAACCGAATTCTGAATTCCTTGGTTTGAATATCCATGATGAATTTAGTGAATACATCACAATACATAATAAGAAGTTTATCATCTGGATGCTGTACAGTACGAGTAGTAATGCTTGAACTTAAATTTTCTACAGGAAAAAGTACTACTATGTCTTATCGAGTCTCAACTCAAGTATAGTATTACATTCTAGGGTTTTTGCAACAAACGGCAAATGAACTAATTTTTTATATTACAGAAGAGTCCAAGGAGGTGGATATGTAAAGTTGAATACGATGACCATTGTAAATCTTTTTTTTTTTATCAATCGTCATATTTTAACTTTTTTCAATTCATTCATTTCAGAAACTGTTTTTTTGCACAAAAAATACAATGCAGCCTATTGACCTACTTCATAACACTCGACAAACAAACGACGTGATACTAATATTTCAATGAAAACTTTGACAAAAAATTATATAATGTTTGGGAGCAAAAAAATTATAATCCCTCATCAAGCAGTATCAGGATTTTGTTCCAAGTTTGAAAAATCAGTGAAAAAAGTTACTTTCGAATAAAGCCTTAATTAATTTCACTGTGGCAAGTTTTGAGTTGAGGTTTAAATTAGCTTAGAGATTTAGACTTTGTATAAAGTTTAATTTGACAAGTATTAAACATAGTTATACATTTATACTTTATTTTAGAATTATTCATTATATCGGGTATATTTATTCATGTTTGTGTTTTTTCCGCAGTAAAAAAACCCTGTGCCGACAAGAGGTAAAATTACATTTAGTCTATTAGGTAGTAGCGTGTATTGAACAAATTTCAAACAGCATCAAGAGAATACATACATTTTTTGTGAAGCCTGTTTGGAAGATCTTAAATTAGTTCCAGTAACTGTCACACAAAAAGTTCAGCTAATGAAGTATAGAATCCTTAGAATACGGTTATGGATATTTTAACCGCTCATAACATCTTCGAAATAAATGCGACCAACACCAATGATAAAGTCAGTTATGATACGAAAAAATTAAAGAAATTACTCGTGGATGAGGCTTGAATATTGAAATCAAAAGAGTTGTCCATGTTGGAAAACATGACAATATTTCCAGACCAGTAGAAGTTTCCCCAAAAAGCAGTGAAGATGTACCGAGCATATTAAGAAACAAATATAAAATGTGTTTATCTGGTGTCAAAGTTACCTCTCATCTAACAGCAAAGCAACGTAACCATTTGAAAGATCTAAGGAAACAACTGAAAATTAGAGTAGCCAACTGAGAAGAAGATCTCAATATAAAGTACATGACCGGAACTCCAAGAGTGGTGCAAAAAAATTAATTAAGGGTAACTCTACATTTAAAAAAATAGAAATTTATTGTCAGAATGTCCAAAGCATTAGAACTAAGCTCAACAGCTCAATGATCTCGAAATAAGCTCAGTAATTATTGACCATAACATAATAGTTCTCACAGAAAATTGTTTAAATAGCGTCATTAGATCCTCAGGATCTAGAAGAACAAAATGTGGAAAAAAACTTTTGACAGAAACTAATGACAGCATCAAATATACTACATGAGTTGAAAAGTCTCGGGCCTACCACATAGATGGCGCTAGTCTGATTGTATTCATCGCTTCTCGACTTAGTACTAACCTTCAAAAGAAAGCTGTGAAACTTCATGATATTCTGCTCATAAGTTTCGTAAGTTATTGTGCTAAGAGTGGTACTACTTTTGTTATTTTCGAAACAATGGGCCAAAAACAATTTCGTGTTTTAATTTCACACTGCTTCTTGATGGGAAAAAATTCCGTTCAAGCGAAGCAATGGCTTGAAAAGTGTTATAAGGACTCCGCTTCATCAGAAACAAACCTTTATCGTTGGTTTGCTGACTTCAAACGTGGTCGTAGAGCGCCGATGATGCAGAACGCAGTGGACGTCCAAATGAGGCAGAAAACTTTAAAAAAATCCACAAAACCGTTTTGAATGATCGAAAAGTGAAGTTGCGCGAGTTAGCTGGAATTGTAAAGATATCAAAAGAACGTGCTGCCTTTATATTGCATGAACATTTGACTATGAGAAAGCTCTGTTCAAAGTGGGTGTCGCACATGACAGAAGTTTTTAATTGAAGAAGACCAATTCCACCTATGCATGCCACCTTTTAGAGGACAATCACGATTTCAACATTAACTATGACATACTCCAAATAAAGGACATACATTGACGTTATTGGAGTCTCTGGAAATCAATAAGGGCAAACATTCAAATTAACTATTGAACAATAAATAAGAGAATAACCATTCACCACTGTTAAAACTTTTTTCATAATGCCAAGAATTATTCACACTCAAATTTTACCTGCTGTCCAAGGATTGACATTGTAAATTGTTTAAATTATTTTTATTGGATAACTTACCATAGACTGGTTTGATGATGAATTGGATGTATCAGCAGTAAACATTAACAATAATGCTGTGCGCAAAACAATAATTCACAACTTTGCTTTCCATATTTTTTTTCAATTAAATAAAGTTTATAATTGCTATGGTGTTGTTTGATCTAATATTCACAAATGAACGGAATGAATGCTTTGTAGATAGAAAAATTATGGCTTGATGGATTCCACGTACTGTGGAGATTTAACTTATAAAAACGAATAAATTGCATATGCATTTACCCAACAGTTCCCAAAACTTTATATATCTAACACAAATTATCATCAAATGCCAACCTTTGATTACCAGAAAACAACAGAAATGAATTAACAGAACAGAAAACAATTAATTTGAAAATTATGTTGAATAAATTATATCACTGTGAAACCAAATAAAGGGCAGGGACCAGATCAGATGAAATACCAGTTTAACTGTGAAAAATTTGTAGATTCAAACTGGCTGCAATTCTGTTTTTATTTTTTTCTGCTTTCCTTAATTTTGGTGATTTCCCTAGAGTATGGAAATCAAAATATATTGCACCAACCTTCAGGTCTGAGAATGAAGCAAACATTAAATTTTACCGACCTACCAGCATTTTGAGTGCAATTCCCAAACTATTGGAACAAATTATATGTGAGAGTTCAAAATGTCCCGTAAAACAGGTGACAGTTGAATGCCATAATGAATATCAAGTGGACGTAATATACACTGGCTTTTCCAATGTGTGACATTGAGGACAGTTGGCTTCTTTGGTAGTTTGTTAAATTGGATTTCAAAGTTACTTTTGAAACAAAATACAGTTCATAAAAGTCAAAAGATTATATGTCTCTATGTTGAGCCTGAGATACCCCAAGTATTCCACTTGGGGTCATATTTGTTATTTTTTTATGGTGATATTTAAAGTAAAATCAATCATTTGTAAATTTTAATGTTTGCAGATGATCTCAAAGTTTAGAAAAATTGAATCTCGAAAAAGATTGTGATGAACTCTAAAACATTACCTACATCTTTCATAGACTGGTGTACTGACAACTACATCGATGTCAGTTAGATTAAATGCAAGAATATTTCTTTCTCGCAACCACTCAATTAAATCAAAGCTGAATATAGTGGAATTTGCAAATTTTCTACATAATCTAGAAACTATGGTAGACAATAAAATGGATTTCCACGTCTATACAATGTGTCCGTAAAGTATGGAACAAATTCATTTTTAGCTAAACAGGTCATTTCAAGAAATAATCCTGAAACACGTCGATTTTTTATGTTAATTTACCGTATTTTAAAATAATAATCTAATATACAGGGTGAATTACGTTCGAGTAATGACGTCACCGTCATTTTTTTTAAATGGAACACCCTCATTTTGTCTCAATTTTCGGATTACTCTAGCTGAGCTGATTCCAAAAATGTATCGCATGTTGATTCCAACTGGTACAGGGTGGACAACAATACAGTAGTTGTGTGTGTGCTAATAAAGTAACGTGTAACATTCTTTATTAGGTAAATTAACAATATTATCAAAAATACTTATTGTCTAGCGGCAATTGGTTTAAATGTAACACCCCGTAGTTTGCTACATGTTTAGAGTAATACAAATGAGCTGTTTCCAAACATGTTTGGTACTTGTGGTCTAGCAGACAGAATATGAAAGAAATTATTTCTTATCTGTACAACTAAACTCAACTTTATTACACTACTATACAGTCATTACAACACAAAAACTCCAACTAAACTTCAGACTAAATGCTCAAATGTCTATGTCCTTATTATATAGATCAATGGGCTCATTCAGGCTAATTTAGATTTTCATTGAAAATTATATATTATAAAAGTAAATCATCTCCCAAGTATCCCACAAAATTTTCCGGTTTATATCTCAATTAACAACTGAGCAAGAGCAATTGAAAATGTGAGATCGCCCGCGGTACATCGTGGCGTCACACCAGGCAAACGAGCTTCGAGCGGTGGCAACCGGGCCTGTAGTTGGAGATTATGAATCGCCGTTATCGTCAATTCAATTTAATTTTCTTCGAATATATCAATTCTGGGTAACTGGCATTTTTGAGACAAAAGTTCTATAATAAATAAAGAGTACCTTGGGATTCCAAGACATAATTTCGGATTTTTCTCCATGACGTAAATAGATCTCCGTTCAATATTGTTTTTCGAATTCCAGTTTTCAAATAATATTCCAGACAAAGTAGAATCTGATGATGTATCAACCGAAGGCATGTCTGATGTACTCAAACTCTCACTGTCCTCGGGGGAACTTAGTAGTAATTTTTTCCAATACTTTCTGTATTTTCTATTTCTTTAGAACGATTTCTTTTTCGGTGGTATATAATATTTACGGTCTGTTTAGCTTTTGATCTTCGAAAACCCTGTTTATTAACTTGAATTCCAACATCAAAGGTATTTTCCTGTGTACATGCTTCATCAGACATGATTTGATTTTTAGCGATATCTTCGTTATAAGTATTCAACAAATATTTTTTAACAAACGGTGGAGCTTTAGATGTATGGGCCAACGGTCTATCAATGTGGCAATCAAATATATGCGGAATTACGCCTGGTTTCAATATAATTTTTCCCACTTTCATAGTTTTGATATACATGTAATTTTCCAAGTCTGTTTCAACCTAAAATTCAAAGTTGTGCTCTGAGTAAACTATAATTTTTTTATTAATCATTATCATTCATACTTACATTAAAATGATCTTCGCAACAAAAATGCGTCCCATGGCGCGCTGCCATAACTTTCGTAACAGTGAATTAAAAATTTTGTCTGGTGCAGTTACGGAATAATTCTTGCATTTAGGAACGATGAAATACCCGTAACGTTATTTTTTATCATTATTCATATTAACGCAGTTGACACACTGCAGTAAACAACACACAACTTGCTTTCTATAGCTTTAGCACACGTATTTCGCTTATCCGCTAGCACTCCCTTGTCGCCGAGTCGACTGATGTGACGTCAAGCTTGACCACGCCCCGTTTCGGTGAACGCCACATTCGACAATTAATTAGAGGGGGAAGATAAAAAGTGAAAAATTAAATTTTTTGCAGATGTAGTAGTCTAAGAGCCAGTGAGCGGCTACCTGCATGTATTTGACCAGACTCAGGTTTTTGTACATTGAGGCCCCAATACCTACCGTACATGATATGAGACCTCACTAAGCCCAAAGTGGTGGACGCGGTGAGTGCGCAGGTAGGACAGGTATCAATTTTTTAGTAATTTTAAATGCATTTGACGACGTTTGCCGTTTTGATATTTTGAAATATATTATTATTGTGAACGGAAAATAATAATGGCTGAACATTACCTCGCGTTCAACATTGTGGCAGACATATTTGAAAATGTTAAAAATAAATATTTTTGAAAGTAATTGACGAGATCTGCCATTGATACATTTCACTTATTATAGTTTCAAAAAC